CTGGGCTGTAGGCTCTGCCCTGGCAACAGCTGCAGGGTCATTGTATATATTGTGAGAAGCAATATCAAGTCATCAATATACTGAATTCTGTTTTCAACCTAAGACCTATGGCTATTGTGACATACCATCGCCGTTTCATAATTGCTAGATTTGTATACTTATTTATTTCCCTAAAAGTAACTTATGAGACAGAAGCAATAATAAACAAAGCTGTACTAAAGTTACCCACTTAGATTGCTGAAATAAGATTATTGGTTTTGACTTCAACTGCCTAAATATTTTACAATTCAATAAATTCTCTTCTGTCAATTCACTTTCAATGCAAAAAAAAAAAAAAAAAAAAAATAATGATACAACTTGAGCAGACAAGGTCGACATGACAGAGTGATTTACCAAAGTTTTATCTCCTTCAAGTTATTGTGGCATATCAGTAATAAGACATATTTAGTGAAGGAAAATTGGCTTTCATCAGAATATTTTTAAATAAAAAATTATATGCTTTTGTTACTCATCTTGATTGTTATACTCACGTTTCTATCTCCTGACCTTCAAGCATCCATCATCATATGCTGACTTCTTGAATTTCAAGACAAACCCTTTATTCATCTATTATGGTAGATTGCTGTTTTGTTTTGTTTTTTAAATCATATCACACCATGCAAGGCAGTAAAGCCACAAGGGTTTACCGAGTGTGAAAGAAAAAAAAAAAAAATTAAGGAGCAAGAACAATGAAAGAGTAATCAATAGGACAGTAGATAACGATTGAGATTGCATTTGAATTTTTGAAGATCAAAGTTCGCGGGAAAGCATTGAGCCGGAAGGAGTTCCACAAGCGCGAAAAGAACCTATTAGCATAGAACTTACAATTACTCCTAGCCAATTCAACTGCAAATTGATGAGACCTTGCCACCAATGTAGTACTACAGTTAAATTCATAAAGTCAAGGTACCACAGTGAAAGTATTTATAGAAAAGGCACAGGGAAGCAAGCTACATTAGTGGTGGGAAAATTACTGTAGCTAAGAAGACAACACAAGACCAGACCAATAATAATGCTAATTTATCTTTGGATTTTATCAAGAATTTCTAGATATATAGCAGAAGCACTTGACCATATATGGAAGCAATATTCAAGGCCTGGATGAATGTTAGAATTATAAATATGTAAAATAGATCCTGGAGAAAAACTGTAGACAGCACGACTTTCGTAGACCTAGAAATGGATTCAATATAATCTTTCCACTTCATATCAGCTGAGAAGGCACAACAAATCACTATCATGGAGGCCGGTATCAGCTATACTGATGGGATGCAGGCGAGAGAGAAGCAGGAGAGAGAGGAGAAGCAGGGACTACCTCTGGAACGATTAGCAGAGGAGGAGAGGGGGGGTTTCCTGTCGAAGTAGATGCTGCAGTTGTATCAGTTCCACGCCAGAAGCCTTCTCTCCTCCCTTGCGCAACATGTTCCGTAACAGTGGTATGACCAGTAGCCCAAATGAAAATACTCAGGTCCCCACATTAAAAACTGACCTTGTCACAACCTGACTAAGTGGTTTAAGGTAAATCTCAGTTACAGGAAGGTATCTTTCAGGTGATTGATAGAGAAGTTTTATTCTGGAGGCATTGAAATTAACAAGCCATTCTTTGCCCCAGTTAACAACAGTATGTTATTTTGAGATCAACTGCCAATTTGACCTTAATACGCATTTTCATGCCACTTGTCTGTTTCTTCGACTGAACCAGCACAACCAGACCCAGGATCAAACTTGCAGCTGCTAGGAAACCATGCTTTAACACTAGGATGGCTGAGGTGTCATTTTAGACACCTTCAAATTTTCAACAAATTACTATGAAATAACTAGTTTTGGTTCGATGCTGAGGCTTATGGACAATTATTGAATTTTAGCAAAGATGCTTAACAGACTTAATTCTTTAAAAAATATTCAGTGGAATAGCTGATATTTGAGGTTTTACCTTGAATGGCTGAGGTGTCGTTTTTGACACCTAGGCTATTTATAGGGTAAATGAATTGAAAAATCTCTCACAAGCAATAATACTTGTGTTTATGTCGCCTATCTATCTATACACACACATTATATATATATATATATATATATATATATATATATATAAACATCACTTTCTTTCAGTATGAGGTATACTAATATTTGTGAATTTCTTTTCAGACTTGTTATTCCTGACTTGAATATATTAAAGATGGCTGCTTCACAGCGTAATGTAAATAAAGATGTCAAAAAGCTGGCCATCCTAGTGTTCACCAACACTTTGATAACTGAGTAACAAAATTCTGGAGCGTTGTCATGAAAACACTCCAATGAGTCCACAGGATTGTCTCGTCAGCAATGTTATGACTTTGGGTCATGACAAGTTTCGGGTTTTGCAACATCATACTTGTTTGCCCAAGAGACCCTACCGAATCAATACTATTCCAGCAGGTGATCCTGAAGCAAAAATTCTGCCAAGCATGCAACAAATTGACACATTAAGTAACTGCCACTGCTGATCTTGAAATTACAAGCAGCCACTCATTAACAACTTACATCACTTCCTCCTCAGCCAAGACAATAGAAAAAAAAGAATAGACAGCATTCTCGTCTTTTTTTTTCTATCTTAGGTCCATATTTTGATGTTCTTTTAGTGAGTTGATTATTTTTTTTAATCAGAGGCTCCCAGATGGTACTTACCTCTATGCTAGATCTACTGAGCAGGTTGTCAAAGTATAACATATGTGCAGATTCCCCCACCAACCAACCACTCAGCCTTAATCTCCAGTTTTGTACTTTGTCTATTATTTTGACTTCATTCCACAGGAGTTGATAACCACCATTTTTGCTTCATATATAATCAGTCATGTCTGATTTCAGTGTCTCTACCAAGAGAATAGTTTTCAATATTCATCCACCCCTTACTTTTAAATGACAGTTTCTCCTTTCTATTGATTGTATTCCATCACATGCAGCTGTGGCAAAGAACATAAGCATAAAAAGCAGAATTAGAACATCACCCCGTAAAGTGAATACAGGGTTTGGTTAAAAATTCAAAGTATGACAAAAAATGGAGGTCAGCCAGCAAATACAGCAGATGAAATGTTAAGTATAACAACCAAAATGAGCATACTGGTCTGAATAGCAAAGTATATAACAGGGAGAAATGGGTTCATGCCTTTCTCATGGATATGAGTACAAAGTGAAAAGTTTTTCTAGGAATTTAAATTCAAGCTTCCCAATTCCAAATAAAACACACACATATATATATATATATAATCAAAAGCAATTCATCCCAAGCAAGGCTGGAGTGTCACTAGCATGCAAGGGGTTACAGAGGATTGAGAACAAGAGTAAAGAGGCGGGTTTGAGAAAAGGATACAGAGAAGGAAAGGACATGGGAAGAAGGTTAAGGTATCTGATGTCGATTGATCTTACACTTGAATATTTGAAGATTATAATTATCAGGGAAGCAAGCAAGGGGAAGGGAGTTCCACTGTCGGGAATAGCGAGATAAGCTGCTGGAATAATATATATATATATATATATATATATAGTGTGTGTTTATAATAGCAAGGAATAAGCATATTTTAAAAGGCATATCAGTGTAAATTTAATAGCTAAAAAACAACCGGTTTTGTTGCAGTCTTATCAAGTTTAATTCTGAGAAATAAGTGACATTTAAATTAATTAAAGATGACTAATGAAGGGGCAGAAAAAAAATTTCAAGGAAAACTAGAGACCAATAATATTCAGACCCAGCAAACAATCCCTCTGCGGGGATCTGATATATAATGACTCCAGAACCTTGAGATGATATAAAGAGTGGGACCTTGATAGAAAAGAAAAATGGTCCACAATAAAGTCAGTAATACAAATCCTACTATTAATATGTTGTGCAATAGATGACCAGATGTATTAACTAGTTGACTATTGTTAGAAGCCAGATTCAAAATCCTGGGAGGGAAATGCTACTTTATCCTAAAATCCAGATGTTGAGAAGTCCTCCCTATGTAGTCGAGTCCACAACTACAATCATATTTGTAAATAACTGAGTTAACATGATGGGGGAAAGGACATACTTACAAATGGAAGAAAAAATAGGTCGAGTAACAAATAGTACTCAAATATTAGCAGAAAAATAACAACTATTGATCACAAACAAAATTTGTGTAGCTAAAGACTCACTCTCTGAACCAATAAAGGGAAGACACAAATAGACAGGACATTTTTTTTAACAAACCCTATGAAAATTATTGATGGCATCATGGATACCTTCATCCAAAACATCCAAAGGATATCCATTTTTGGAAATTATCATCTTAATAAAATCAGTTTATATGTATTTGTGTGTGTGGGGGGGATTAGTTACAACAATTTTTTTAAAATAAAAAAATTAAAAAGGCCTGCTTAGAAAAATCAACATTCAAAATCTGAGTTTAAATACCTATTAGTGTGGCAGATCACACAGGCATATACAAAGTTATCATAGTACTTTACCCAATGAGAATTGAAGTCACTCACAATAGTCAATGACACTAGCTTTTATGAATGATATATAAACATTGACACTTGAAAAAAATAAAAAAATAAAGGACTGAGCTAAACATACAAAAATTTCAATATCTGGGATTTATTTTGAAGCCTAAAAGAAAAAAGCGAGAAATAAAAATTGAATAAAGGATGGCAGAAATGAAACACAGAGACAAACATCAAGAGAGGAAAGTGGTTAAAGAAATAGTAGGAAAATGCACAACTATCTCAACCACAAAACAGATCACAAATAATGGGCGCAACCTATAAGGAACAAAATCACTACAACTGCAAATCAACCAATCAAGACAAGCCTACAAACCATTGTGTTATGGTGGATCTTGATGTTAACCAACCAAGCAGAAAATAACTTGGTTGGAAAACAGTTTTAAATTAAATTATCACACACACACACAATTATATTAAATTCGTTTTTTTCCAATTTTTATTTTTTTTATTTTTTTTTATTTTGGTTTCAGAAGTGACAAAGTTGTTAACTGGACACGTCTCTTCGGTTTTTCCAACTGATTTGGAGAGACTACCCGAGGTTTTGGACAATTGCTTAGTGAAGAGCTAGTGGAACTGGTGGCACTTTTAGGAACTGAAGGAGAATTCTTGATAGACATTGGCAAGTGGAAGCCAGTGCTACTAGAAGAGGAAGCTGCTAAAGGATTTGCTGGAGATTTTTCAGAAGAGGATGCCGAGAGCGTAGGTGTGTCACATGACGTTTCTAGAATGAGACTGAAGTCTGTACTGCAAGAATCAATGTCAGCAGGTATGGGAGACTGCAAAAGAAAAAAATGACATTAAAGAATTCCCTGTTGAATTTGCAGAATAAACGTAAATAGAACTAAATGCAGGACATAGAAAATTAAATTCAAATAAATTTCTGTCAAGGCACACAATGATTTTATTTCAATATTTTTTTTGTACAAAAAATATTTTAATATTTTTTTTTTGTACAATGCATAGGCATTTAAAAAAGTAGTTATGGGAAAATGGTTTACTCAACTGCTCATTCACACAAACCGTTTTATCAGTCATTTTGACATACCAGTGATAAGACATTTGTAAGAGAATTAGTGTAAATTAAAAATCATCAGGAAATCTCAGATAAAGGTTAACTACACAGATTGTAATTATCATTTGCTATGCTGGGAGCTGATTTGCCCCACCCTGAACCTAAGACAAAGAAAATTAACACTGGAAAAAAAAATAAAAATAAAAACAACCGGTGACTTGGAAAAACTTTAGATTAAGCCACTCATCTTCATAAACATATGTTACCCTCACCCAAGCTTTTTATTGACAAACTGGCCAATGATTATCCACATTGCATTCCAATCTTGTCCGTTTTCACCGAAAGCTGGGGAAAGGGTATGTTGCATGCTCATAAATTAATGTCATGAAAGACAAATGCCACACCGAACAAAATAATGTGAATCTTGTTTCCCCATATTCTATGTCGGTGTTTTATTCAGTTTTTGCCTGCTTGTCCAGGTGAATAAGTAGGCAAGACTTTGGACAATTGCTGCTATATTAGCTTGTTGTATCCATTAAAATATCAACTACAATATTTATAAACCAATCACACTCAAGAAAACACTTACATCTTAAAACACACCAATAAAATCATAGATTACCAATCAGAATGTTTGTCGTATTAGTCATCATCATTTTTTAGGTAGATACCAACCAAATATCGTACGGACATAGTAGAAGACATACCACGTGACTTCTTAGGGCCAATTAGGAATAAATAAATAATTTAATTCTGGAGCCGATATTGTTCGGAAAAAGTGTATAAAAACATACAAAATCCGTTCCCAAAACAATAAATACGCGGCTGCCACCAATCTACACACACCTCTCGCTGATGACCTTCATGACCTCATGTTAAAAACGACAGCATTGACAAACTCTAGACCACAGCAACACCGCCAACAGTAAGAAATAATTCATATCTCTCGTATCCGTTTTTACTATGTATCACGCACACACATCTTGACTTTTTCATACAAACACACATATCACATTTTATTGTTTCTCACACACGTACACAAAGAAAGTTTATATTTTATTTCAGAACTTTATCAACCCAAACAAAAGACATTACTTTCCAATCTATTATCAACTATTTGTATTCCTATCGTTATATTAAATCAATGTTTATTTGTTGAAACTACGTCGACTTTTCTACTGAATTTTATTCCTTCAATGAAAAGTGTTTGATTATTTTAGATGGCCAAATTACGAGCGACCCTGTAATATTTTATTAATGTATTGAATCGTGACACTCCAAATTTTAACATTCAATGAAAAACCAAGTAGAAGGATTCCTACAAGCTCTTCTGCTTACTAACTTTTTGTCCTACTACACATCCCAATGTGGTGGATGGTAATACAAAAGGGAGGCTTTGGAACCACTGGACACACATCTGTCTCCTGTCAAGGGTGGACAAGCACTCACCCGATCCCAAGCATAACTCAATATACACCTGCACTTGGATATACCTTATTTCCGGTTTTGTTGTCACTTGATCCTCGAAAGTCTCTCATCCACACCTTTACTTCAGCATTACTCTTCAGTCAAAGCGGTTGCCGCTTAAAAGACTGAACTTCAAAAAGGAGCCATTCACTGGTTTATCAGACAGAAACATTTAAGACTGAGATAAAATCACCTCTACCCTTTCTACATGGGTGGCCATAGTATCACATTCCCACCAATATTCAATTTAAAAAAAAAAAAGATTATTATTGATAAATATTTTAAAACCTGTTTGTTTCAGAATGTGAAAATAAAAAAAACAAATGCAAGTTCTTATCTCAAACAGAAATGGAAAGAAATCTATAGGTCAAAGGTAAAAGTCAAATATTGACAGTATACAGGGTGCAATGGTTAAATTCTCGCCATTTTATATTTATAATTTTGCACATGTGCATTGTTTGTTTTTGTCGACTGCACAGTAAAGTCAGTAGTGCAACATCTGTGAGAAAAAAGCACCATGATGCAAATCAATCTGCCAGAAATTTGGAAACGCCATGCTGTAGTGCTCAACATTTCCATCTGAAGCACCAATACAAACATTTCAGATTGTTTAGGTGTCAATCTGAGGACAGTGCAGAGGATTCAGAAAGATTTGGAGGATATATCCAGTCAATATCATGGTGTTTGGAGTGATCACTAGTGATGGCGATGTTATGCCTCCATCCATCTACCCACAGGGCCTCAAACTCAACATGGAGGCCTACATCAAGTGTCTCAAGGAGGTAGTGCTGCCTTGGGTCAAGAGAGCAGCAACTGGAAGACCCTATATCTGGCAACAGGACTTTGTACCATGTCACACAAGCAGGAGAACCCAGTCATGGGTGTCAGACAATTTCTGCATCTGTATCACCCCTTACATCTGGGCTCCTAACTCCCCAGACTGCAACCCCCTTTATTATGTGTGGGGCGCAGTTGAACAAGAGACCAACAAAACTCCTTGTAACACCAAAGATGAATTGAAGGCAAGGATTGTGGCAGCATTCACCAAATAAAACAAGGAGACCGTCTAGAAGAGTTGCAGGATATTCTGAAGTCATCTGGAGGCCATGATTGAAACCAATGGGGATTTTACTGAACAAATTTACTCTTTAGTATTTCAAGAGATTTTTGTGTAATTTTGATAATTCTGTTAAAATGAGAAGTCAAAGTTATTTTCATGTTTGCATCACTTAGACGACAATTTATCCATAGCAGCCTGTAGATTTAATGCAAATTTATGGGTAGTTGTAGCACGGTATTACCTTTGTTACTAAGATTTTACAAGCTAGCATCACAAAATCACCATCTCTGTGAGTTTAATTGATTTTGTTTAGCAGCATATCAACCTCTACAGATTATTTAATGCCAAAATCTAAATATTTTGAATGCAATTGTATGCCTTTAACTGCAAATATTTTGTACATTATTTTATACATTCAGGTTAACCATAGGTTTTATAAATACATTCTTTGTACATGATCTGTTGTAGGTGTTATATGTCTTGGTATAAACATATTTCTTTAAAAGGTAGGATGTTATGTTGACAATTTCAGTATTTTTAAGTAACTTTTTCATGTGGGTTTTCTTGTAGCATTTGCGTCTTACAGGGGCTAACTGAGGCCCCTTATCCAAAAAAAATGAGGTAGATGTATAAAAAAGTTTAAAAATTGTAATTTACCTGACCATTATTTTGAAAATATGATTGAAAATAGATTCTTTATGAGGAACAAAAGTGGTAAATTGAACGATCGAGATTTGGGTAAAATGAACGACATGAAGCTATCAGAGAAACGGAGAGAAAGACTGGTAAATGGCATGGGTCTAATAAACAGAGAAGATAGATATTTCACTGTAACGAAATTGGCAGAGTTCATGAATGAAATATCTAGTAACTCTTTCTTTTATAATTTTTGTTTTGTTTTTTAGTTGCTTAAGCTACACTGATGCAAGTAATGGACTTGCTTAAGATTTAGTCAAATTTGAGTATCATTGCTTATAAACAAATTGCTTGTTTTTAAAAAAAAAAAAAAAAAAAAGCTAAAATAATTTATGTTGCCTGAATAAAAATGGAATAAGACTCAACTAATTTTAGATTTGGCAATATGACAGACACTGGGCATGGACATGATAAATTAATTATTTTAATTGGAAACCAGTTCTCGTGTTGAAGATGGGAAGACAAGTTCTCACGGGAAGACCTGAAGAGTAGTTCCTCAAGGACACATGGCACAGTGGATAAGGGCGTTAGGTAGATCCAGTGACAGGACCCAAAGAGTGTGAGTTCAATACCCAGTTAAGGCAGTGGAGAACTTTCAGAGGGAAATTAACAGGAGATAACTGATAACTGACATCCATTAAACATAGCACATGGAACTAGAACAGTCTACCCCAGTGAGCAAAATAAAGGGTTCAGTTCGACATTCCAACCACCTGAAGAAGGCCAGAGCATACAATGGCCAAAATGTTGCGACAAATATGGTAACAAAGATGAGGACAATAGTCCGAATAATGTAAATAATGTACATAATACCTCATCTCAGAAATATAGACAGATACTGAAATAACATTCTTCATATTTTTTTGAAAGATGCATTTTCTATCCTAGGACAAGTCAAAGGCACATTTTCTATTCTATCATCCTTCCCATCTACATTTTCTGGGAGTCAAATTTGTTCCTTAACCTTGTTACTTTTGCCAACAATTTAGACAAACATAGTTTACATATAGATACACATTGACATGCAATGTGTAAAATTGTTTCAGCATGAAAGCCTTGAGATCGAAAAGATGCTTTACATTTGAGATTGACATGTGAATAAAATTTCTTCAATTGTTCTGTTATGGTAATTTACCCACACATGCATGGACTCTCCCAGCTATAAATAGGAGCAGGTACTGCCTTTTGGAGTGGGAAGTTTCCAAGAGCCAGCTCTGACAGTCGGACCAAACATTCTTGCTGTAACACTCACATTCATACTGTTAATATATTTGTTTAACTCAATTCCTCTCTTTGTGTCTTTATTTCTGGCCCTAATAAGGCCACATGTTCAGATTTTAAAAAACCTTGATAAATCTTTTGAGATTCTACTAAAATGTATTTAATTACTGTAAAATAATAAATTATTTTCCTTTCATCTACAAATTCTGTGAGTGTGAATTAATTTATCTTTGACGGAGGTTTTTACTTGTCTCTTTTGCCTTTTCCTCTTTAGTGAGGGTAACAGCTAGAGGATACACCTTTATATTCTTTCTCCCTTTCTTTCTTGTCCCCTAGACAAGAAAATAGAGAAGTAACTACAAGGTCATGAACTTGTTCTAATCAAGGAAACACTGTTCACAATCACTGCCAAATATTACTGATGGCTTAAAAAAAAAAAAAAAAAAAAATTTTTTCTTAAATAACAATTTTAATTTTAGCTTGTAAAAAAGCCAGATTTTACAGGACTTTTCAATGTTTCCAGGACTTGTATGAACCCTGGAGTTCTCAAAAGAAGACAAAAGCAATCAATCATGTTTGGGAAGGGTTGTTCAATCCCAATATCGATCTAATAAGGAAATGTAAAACGTGCCTGAAATAAAACTATAAAATTATTTACCTTCAATTTAGATTTCCCCGGAACTGGACCAAAGGATTTTGGTGAAGTAAACAGAGTAGCTGTGTCCATCGGTTCTTCACTGGTTCTTCCAGCATCCGTTTTAACATCCGTTTCCATCAGATTGTCCCCACTGACAGCTGATGAAAGGGTGGTTTGAGGGTGGGTTTCAGTTTGCACTTTCAAGTTTGAACCAGTTTCATCACTCTGATCATCCTCTGGATTCTTGTCGACCTTAACAGATTGCGCACATTCTTGAGACCCATTTTTTTGGTAAGGTTCTCCAATTTCTCCTTTGGCAAAAGTCACAATTGAACAAAAACCATCTGTTGAGGCGACAACAAGAACATTACCATCATTTGACCTGAAATTATAAAACAAATAAAAGACATTTAAATTTGGTAAAGAAAATGCTTAGACTGATTCTTTACAGTTAGTTAGTAGGCTAAGTCCGGCACAAGGTCACAAAATCGAGACACCCAAAGAGAATCAGACTCAATCTCTGTTATTCACAGCAACCAACAATTTTGTACATCTCAATATTCATAAAGAAAATAAACAGATTGAACTGCAAATTCTTTTTAACCAAACCAATCATACAAAAACAAACTTTATAATAAAAACAATGTCTGAAGTTTTGAAGATGACCCATTTCTTCTTAAAAGAAATTCTAACATTCCAAATCCAAATCAAGTATTCCTGTGAATTTTTCTTTTAAACTGTTTTTCTGTAATTTAGTTGAATAGCTTAGTGATGCATTTTAGAAGCTGGTATAAGTTGGATGCTAGAAAATAGAATACTTAAAGTTAAAGAAAAAAAAATCAACCTATAAAACAATGAGAAATACTACTTTGTTTAGGCACTTATCCACAAAGAAAGAAAAAACACAGTATGCATGAAAGAAAAAGAAGAAAAAAAACAAGAAACAAAAAACAAAGGGAGGGGGAGAAAAGAAAAAAACGAGAGAAAAGAGATGGGTATGAGAGAAGAAAGAAAAAGAAAGAAAAAAAACAAAGAAACAAAAGAAGAAGAGGGAAGGGGAGAAAACGAGAGAAGAAGGGAGAAAACGAGAGAGAGAAAGGGAGAAAACGAGAGAAGAGAAGGGGAGAAAACGAGAGAGAAGAGAAGGGGAGAAAACGAGAGAGAAGAGAAGGGGAGAAAACGAGAGAGAAGAGAAGGGGAGAAAACGAGAGAGAAGAGAAGGGGAGAAAACGAGAGAGAAGAGAAGGGGAGAAAACGAGAGAGAAAGGGAGAAAATAGAGAGGAGAGAAAGGGAGGAAAGGAGAAATAATGAAAAGTAAAAAAAAGTTATACCATGTCATGTCACTAAGCTGATGATAGTGAATATTGTTGACCATTGCAAATGGATGTGACTGTTGTGTGTCATAAAACAAAACAGAATCTTCTGTGGCAACTGCAAACACCATTCGATAAGGGAGGCTGAATGAGAATATACAAGTTTTAAGAAAACTTTTCTGTAAACCAAAAGAAAATTAAAACAATATTCTTTTTTTTTTTCTCTCAACATGTTGGATTTCTAAAAGTTTCATCAGTTTCAATGAGATTCATTATTCAATCGGATCCAAAAGGAAATGATTAAAAAAAAAAAAAAAAAAAGAAAAGAGATTGTTTTTGTTTTTTTTAATTTTTAGCTGGATTACAAAAAAATGGTCTGTCACCAAATGTATTTATCCCAAAACCCAAGTGTTCTTATCAAAATGGAACACACTAAAGAAAAGTGATCAATGTGATTTGTCCAATCATATAATTAATTCTGTAAATCAGTAATACTCAGAAATTATGACTACTTTGGGAGTTTCATCAAACTTCTTGCAGAAGTCTGAAACATTAATATCAAATATTATGAAATAGACAATGTCTGACAATTATTTTAATACATTTTCTGTTTATATGTTATTTTTGTAGATACAAATATTTAAGTAAATGTTCTCTTTATAATAAACAGTATTAACATTTAACTGCCTGAATTTTTTCTATGAGATTTCTCAGACATTCAGGCCAGTAAATGTTGTTAATACTGTTTATTATAAACATGTTATATTTTTTTTTTTTTTTTTACTTATGCTTTCTTTCAACACTTGTAATAATTTTTCTGATTCCCAGTTGGTATTGAAAATTCTCAATATCTGGATACTTTTGTCTAACATCTCTAAAAATGGCTAGAGGTGAAAGGATAAAATAAAAATAATAATCAAAACAGAACTTTTGCTAGTTTTTAATGAAACATATACACACACACATAAACCGAAATTAAAATGAAACAATTATTCAAATGTAGAAATCAAAAATTTTATAAAGAATTTTGAATAGTATTAAATATCACTAAGGTCCATCCCAACGGACGAACCAGAAAAGGGGAGGAAACTCTTCCAATCTTACCAGAACATTGTTTGATATTTTTCCCATTCTTTCAAATTGCAATCTTCAATAACTAAAAAAAAAAAAAAAAAAATGAGACATAATAATAAAAACATTTACAGGTTAATTACATGAATTAATCCTTGCTTCTGTCACACAATTTTTGATGGATACTACTTAACGGGTATTTTTTTTTTTAAAATGTCTAAAAGATATATGGAACACTGTTTCGTTTCAGAACATCAAGCAAATCAAAGTAAGAATATGGCCTTGTTCTTTTGAAAGACAAAGGAAAAAGAATGCAATTGGCTATGGGAGAAACATGGATGAAAAATGTCAGAAAGAAATTTTGGTACCAAATAATATAGGCACCAATTTCATTTGTTAACAACTTTGGAAAACAATCACTTCATTTTCACTGCTGGAATTACTAAAATAATTACTATGTGCAGGGTAGTGTGCATTACTTTAAGATTCTCTTTATTCAGAGGGAAGAGGGGACTCACGAAGGTTGTGTGTGTGTGTGTGTGTGTGTGTGTGTGTGTGTAGGAGTAGATAGGTTCGCCTATCATCTCCAGATCAAACTCCTTCCCATCATTTGAACAGCCGAGGTTTCTCTTGTTTCCTATTTAGGATTGGGTTTCTGGTTGCTTCTAAAGTCTTCTCACTCTCTTTCACTCCAGTAACTCCCTGTGTCTTATTGCCTTGCTTGGAGTCAATTGATTATATATAAAAGAAGAAAGAAAAAAAACATAGAATGGACATCAACACTGCATGAAGATTGCTAGATGTGAGAAAATGACATTAAACATGCAATGTTAATTTGTATGTCTCTCTCTCTCTCTCTCTATATATATATATATATATATATATATATATATATATATATACACACACACACACACACAGAGTTTTAAAAACAAGGAATTTATTGATTTTAATTTTATTAGTCTCTAAGGCCCTTTCAACCAACATCTCATCAGGAGACAACCGTTGGATCATTAAGTAACGAAAATAAAGAGCCAAAAAAGGGGGGAAACACACTAAAATAACAAACAAGTGTATATACTTGTAACAAGGGGAGGGGAAATAACGTGTAAATAAATTAGTCAGGGACAGTTAAAATAAAATATCCCCCAACAGATTAAGGGACTTTACAAATTCTTTGTTGGCAGAGAGAAGGTTTCCTTAATCCTATACAGACTGATTCCAAAATCTTCAAATGATTGTTGGAACCAGCCGTATGAATGATTTTAAACCACTCTTATTTATACGACTTGGCACAGACTATATTCTCAAGTAAGTGTTGAGCAATAGCCGATTCCATATTTATGGGGGGGAAGATAACACGTTTTCTCTATATTACCAAGTCGTATTTTGGAAGGTACATGCTGGTTGATTCTAGTTTCCAAATGCAAGGTTGTACGCCCCACATAACCAGCAGCACACTGGCAATTAAACTCATATACTAAATTACTCAATTTGATGTAAGGCAATTCATCCTTGCAGAACGACGGAAACACAGACCTAGTTCGAAAAATGCAACATAAAGCAACAGATGGAAAACAACCTTTTTTGTACCTCTAAACATTTGTATATATATATATATATAATTTCACACACCCCCAAGCAAGGCAATAAAGGGGTTACTGAGTGAGTGTGGATAGAAGAGGGAAAAAATGGCACTATTAAAGGAGAGAAGACAAAAGGAAGAAGACAGAAGATAACAATTAACATTGTATCTAAATTTTAGAACATGAAAGTTGACTTGGAAGCAAAAAACCAGAAGAGAGTTCCACAAGCGAGAAGTGCAATAGAAGAAACTGTTAGCATAGAACTTACAGTTACATCAAAACATTTCAACAGTAAAATGATGAAAATCTGTTGCCAATCTAGTATTGTGCTTAAAATCATAAATTCTAGGTACCATAGAGGAAAGTTCATCAGAACAATTACCATGAAAGTATTTATAGAAAAGGCACAGGGAAGCAATGTTATGGCACTGGGAAAAAAAAATCACTGTAGCCGAGATGCCAGGTAAGCACCAATAGCATTGCAAATTTTTCTTTGTAATCTCTAAATACATAGCAAGGTCACCAGACCATAGGTGACAGCAATATTCAAAATATGGATGAATGGAAGATTTATAAATATATAAGATAGATTCTGGTGAGAAAAATTATCTAGCATGACAGTGAACAAACTTTCTTAGCAGCAAATCTAGCAAGTGATTCATATAATCTTTCCAGTTCATATCAGAAGAAAATATTAACATGATTAAGATTAATTAAAAGAGTACTGTTCCATTTTGGAGGCAATAAAAGGAAGGTCATTTACGAAAAGGTAGGTCTAAAGATAGAGTCCCTGGGGATACCAGCATTAATGCAAAAAGATTTAGAAAAGTTGCCATTTGTGAGTCGATCAGTTTGAAAATTCACCCAGACTTGTGAAGAAGACCAGTATTCCAAAGCCTGTCAAATAATATATAAGATATATATGCCTGCGAAAAATTTAATTCTGGTCAAGCAATCTGGAGAGAGAAAGCTCAAATTTGTAAACAATGAATAATACTGCAAAGCTCTTTCATGAATTGAGTTCTCTCAGTCATTGGTGTATTTATCTGAAGAATATGTATGTAAAAATTCACCTTCCACTCTACCAGGCACTGATAGCTCATGGGTAAAATCTTCAACTGATGCCAAATCAATCAATCAATCAATCCCAGCTTGAGGCAATCGGATGTCTAGCCACACTTATGAGCTGTGATACAGAGAAACTGTCTGTCTGTGGATGACAATATATATATATATATATATATATATATATATATATATATATATACCTCACACAAACTGAAGTTCTAATCCACTAGGCTATAGTGGATCATGGAGGGTACATTTTCGTTTATGACTGACAATTTGGTTTAAGCATGAAACAGACTGCCGTTGCTGGGTGTTGCCTACAATGTCTACTTTTATATTCACATACGCTCTATTCCTGATATTGAGCATACTCAAAAACTATATTTTATCATTAAAATGTATATATTTTAGCAGTAACTTTTCTTTTAAACATGTTTGATGAATATGACAGACAAGGAAAATTTGATGAATTTAGTTTTTCCAACATTCTTACATCCTGGTGGATATAAACGAGTGCAAAAATTGTCTGTATTATCCATTGGTCCAAGCACTTTTGGCCACTTTAACCATTTTCAAAGGTTATTAATTTCTTTTCATATTTTTTAAGATGTAGTTTTATGCTATTTGAATAGAATTTATTCAGAGTATGTGTGCATATATATATATATATATATATATATATATATATATATATATATATATATATATATATATATACACACACACACACACACACACACACACACACACACACACACACATACATACACATAACATAAATATATAGACAAAACTGTGAATTGAGCCATTTTTCCTAGTATAGCTGGATTCATCAAATGCTAAATTTATATCATAAATCAATGGCAAAAATTTTTTTTTAAATGTATTACAAATATATAAATGTACAAATTTCAACAAGTTTCTTAATGACCAAAGATTTAAAATTTTAATTGTACCAAAGTTTTCAGATTTTTGCTGTCATCTCTGCTCCCCACCTCATACAAGTCGATATACAGTTTTCCAGTATTGTCTTAAATTCAGAGTAACAGTCTGAATTCATGCAATATTAAAAATTGTTCTTTTTTAGAACTACAGGAAAGCAAAACGATATATATCGGCCATGTTGTATTTTTAAAAAAGATGAAAAGTCATTCAAAGAATATGAAATAACCAACAATAATTTGCAAAATTTGCAAATGCATTAAATAAACTACTGAGAGAAAATATTTTCAATTATTGGTTTGAAGTGTTGTTATGTTGCAGCTCAGAACTGGCACCAGGTACATTGACAGGGTGCAGCTTCTTCCATTCAATCACTTGTAGCTTGAAAAATTACCGATTGAAAATCTGAGAATTTAAGTTGAGATGAGGGGTAGGTGAGGGGGGAGGAGAAGTCTAGCAGGTGTCTTCCCTGTCCATTCTCTGAGGCCCGCTTCATATCTCTATGTGCCTCTTCGGGGGTACTGGTCAGTTTTATGGCTAACATTGTTCTTTGTCCTGTCATCTTTGTCTAAAAAAGCAACTGATTTTCATTCAGAGACTTCTTTTTTCCTGGCCACTCGATGAAGGATACAGATAACCAATGGTTGTAAATAAATGTTCCGAATCCATTTTGGCTACAAGCTGTTTTCAATTTAACAAGCCCACAGCAGACTGACATTGCTACAACATTCACCTTTACATAAAAAATTGAAATACTTCTAAATAAGGGAGATAATCTGAATTCTACTCATCGCAAATGGAGTCAATTAATACAAGGGAAATAACTCTCAATTATTTCGTTATTTCCTTCTATTATTAATGCTAATATTGGGAACATCAAGGAATTCATTGACTAAACAGCCAATGCTACTCGAGTAAGAATTTTCTTCACTGCCTGACCATCGAGATGAGATCAATGTGTTGTATCTGTTCTCATCTCTAATGATAATATTAGCAGTTTTCTCATAACAAAACACAGCAAGCAATCAAGGCTACCATTAGTTGAAATTTATAAAATCTATCTCTAAGAATTTTAACAGTTTTTCAAGTCCACTGTTATTGCTCTTTTCCATATTGACGTGGTTTTCTTTTCAACTTCCTGTTTGAAACAATGTCGAACATCAATATCTTATGTTGTTAAGCTCGCTTAGAGTTACATGGACTATCCATTTTAGCTGTTATTGCTACTGAAAGTCTTCAAGTGATATGGTTTCTGTTATCTGGTACAGATCTTTATGATTCTGTAGCACCATTCCACAAAATTCAGAAAAGAATGGTCCCCACTCTGACCTACAGGCTTCATTTGTTCAAAAACATTTTTAATCATTGACCTTAGAAAGCAGGTTGTATACAACTGACAGTTTAGATCCTTCTGAACGTTTTTTGGCGACATGCATAACGTCCATATGAATGTTGTGATCTGACAAAGCTATTTGAACATCACTTGAGTTTTTCGGCCATATTTTGGTTTTGTAGCATCTTGCACTGTTGGACAAAACTCATCCTAGAAGAGTCTATTCTATATTCAATTTCCTTTTCTCCTATACTAAATTTATTGTAACTGGTTAATATGAGGTATTTGAAGAGTTTAGTATTTACTAATTCCACATCCTGAACATTAATGATGGATTCAGGGTAGGTGCCATCACTTTTCATTCTAATTTCTGTTTTGGAAAGGTTTATCTCAAGTCCTATTTCTTAGAACACTTGATAGATGATATTTTCATTTTGATGATGGATTCAGGTGTCATCACTACTTTCATTCCAATTCCAGATTATGGTTTCTGTTCTGGAATTTTTATCTCAAGTCCTATTTCTTGAAACATTTGTTAGGGGATGTTGATTTATTTTTGTTCAAGATCATTCTTATCCCAACTATCAATGCCTTTGTCATTGGCATAGTACTGGTATGTTAAATTATTTGGTTAGTTCATATTGGTTCGATATGCATCACGTGTATAATAGATAATATATAAAAATGTATGAGGAACATTTTGGATGTTAAAATGTGTGATACTATAAGAGTGTGTATGTAAAGAAACACTTGTGTGTCTAAGTGTATTTTGGACATTAATGTTAATTCATGTAAGTTTATAAGTGTGTGTGAGGAAAGTCTATAGATATCACACCCTCATTTTTGTCAGTGAAATGAAGCAAGATGTTACGAATAATTTTATTTGGTTGGATTTTTATATTCTCATCTGTGTGTGGAGGATGTCTGTTGTCGTCACCTCTGTGTGGGTCAGTGAGATGCATCAAGATAGTGTAATAATCATGTCTTGGTTGGATTTATCATTAAAGCATTTCTCATCCATATTTTTTAAATGGATTTTCAAATTTTCATCATTTTATGTATCAGATAGACAAGTTAGATTCATGAATAATGAATCTGTAGAAAGATGGTGATATAATGTTTCAAGTGAGTGTTTATAGTTGATAGTAATGCTATAGATATATTTTCAGAATATTTTCTCGTTAAAGGGTTATGCTCTTTTTTAATTAGGCTGGCATTAGTGAAATCAGTTATGTCATTTTGATGTAAAACGAGAGTTAGAATGTCTATCTAAATGCAAGTTTCTCTTGTGTTCATAGATCCAGGCATTTCAGATTACGAGATGTCTCCCCAAAACTGTTTTTGCAGTGTAGACACTTTATCTGATAAATTCTGGCATTTGAAATGGTGTTTGGTTTATTTTTCTTCTTGATTATATTCCCGCTTGTCTGGGAGGGAATGGTAATGATTCTAATGTTAGGGATGGCCAATTCGTTAGCGAGTTTAGTCGAAAGGGTGTTGGAGGGCAAGATTATGAATTTTGGGAAGTATCGTTGTTTGGGGCTACATGGATTTTGTGAGCTCGTTTTTTAGCATTGAGGATGACATTTTATGTATGCATCTACAGTTATAACTTTAGATACATACATAAAACAATGCATAAATTCAATTAAAAGTGAAATAAAATTCATCCTTGATAATGACTAAAAGTATAGCCAAAAGTGCATGGAAAATATTTAATTTTTATATAATTTGTCCTGAAAAGAAGAAAATTATACAAACACATCAGAAATTATATAAAAAAAAACAATCATTCCACTGTCAGTTGTTTTCAAAACAAATATATATATATATATATATATATATATATATATATATATATATATATATATATATATAATTATACTGATTTTTAAAATATGGTTCCATCTCTACACAGAAATTACCATGTTTCAAAAACAAACTAACAACTTCAAATTCAATTATATAATTAAATTAAAAGCACTAATTCTGTTTCATTTACAAGTGAATTTTATTTATGATCTGTAAATTTACATTGAGCACAGTTTTGTAAAAATAAAAATATCAATAAGAACACTGGATTATATATCTTACTCTTCTTTCTTTTTTACTATAATATATATATATATATATATATATATATATATATAATATATATTGCATATATTTTGGTAGCATGTTTTCATTAAGACATGTCTCCTCAAATAATTTAGGCAAGTTTTGTCTACTTATTTTTAATATGATCTTCTCATATTCACGGACAAGCTTCTTAGTATCCTTATTAAAGAAGAAATTAAGTTACCATATTGATGCATATTCATTCATTCTGAGTACTTTTAACATTGTAGTCCTCCATACCTTGCCTAGACATTTCAGCTAACCTGATGAATATTTATAAGAGCATGCTTAAATTTTAAAAACCAATAACATTTTTGCCCTTGTATATAAATACTTGTTACAAAATAAAATCTTTGCATTTACCTTGATAAAGTCCTTCAGAGGACAAAACATGTCGGCTAAGATAAGTTTTCCTGTCCTTATTCATAGTCCTTTTACACATACAAACACACGTGACCGATTCTACCCAATAATACTAGTTCAAATAAATAACAGAATAAGTTCATTTTAAAATGTTATGCATTCTGTTAAATTAAAATATCATGATATTCTGAAGAGTAAATAATTCAGAAATTATGTTGCTAAATACCTGTCATTCCAAAATCCTGCCGGGGAATTTTCCTTAGTTTATACAGTATTGGACTACATCGGACAGCAATGGTGGCTTTTGGTCCGCTGGGAAGATAAATTGATGGCCTACAAAAGAGATTAAGTTACATAGAAATGGAATGAATTAGTAAAAATAAAAAATAAATAATCAAAATAACCATTTATACCAATAATAACCAGCATGTAAATTTGGATTGTCTCAAGTTGAGTTTTTAGTTCTTAAGATTGATAAAAATGGTATGAAACCATAACCTGAAAGAACCAAAGCCATTCGTCATTTCCCAGTTCCTAAAACTTTAAAATATCTATGCCAATTCCTTGGCATGGTGAATTTTTATAGCAAATTTATCCCTAATTTGGCAGAAATAGTTTCTCCAATGACAGATGTTCTTCAAGGACAAAAGAAAAAAAAAAAAAAAAACTGTGATATAAATCTTTCTGAAGGAGAGTTGTCAGCATTTAAATGTAGCAAAGGAAATGTTAACCAATGTTAATAACGTCACTTTTCCCAAATCTTTTGAATCCTAACTTCACTTCCCTAACCAACCTGCTTGGTACAACCAGAATTTGCCCAACTGCTTATTATCGTGAAGTTAACAAGGTTTGAAAGCCTTTATTATTTATTATATAAATACTTGTGACACAGAGATTTCTGGAGGTTGATCAAATAAAAAGTGAAAGAAAGAAATGGAGAGAGTCTGCTAGCTAGAGGATAATTGTTAAGATTGCAGAAAGGTGGATTGAAAAGTTAAAAATTAACCTTTAATCGCCATAAAATCCTCTTCCTTTGAATGTTGTAGGCACATTCAGTCACCTCAAAAGGATTGCTATAAATAAACACTTGTCAACCATTATTTTCAGAAATAACAGTTGACAAGTGTTTCTTTATAGCAACTGTCTCAAGGCGACTGAATGCGCCTACAGTGTGCAAAGGAAAGAGAATTCTATGACAATTTTTGCCTCTGGCATGCTAAAGGTTAAAAACAAAATGCGTTGAAAAATCATGTCTTGAAATAATTCCAAGGAGAATCGAACCCAAGATTAACTAGACAGAATTCAGTAAGATTGAGCAAAACCAAGACTATCCGTCCTTCCCCCACTTCCCACCAATAAGAAAGAGACCATTAAGGTATCTACAAAGATGTCAGATAAAATAAAAACGTTGTCAATAAAGAAACCAGAGTGGTCGCCAAACTAAATAACCTTCATGATTCCTCTGGACAAAGAAAAAAAAAAGGGCCAGGAAAAACCATCTGTTTTGAATCAGCCACCCAGAAGAGAAGTATCCTTAGGGATAGAGACCAACTTTCATCATTATAATTTCTGTGACATTCGTACAGAGAAAAAATTTTATATCCAAACATTAATTCGGATTCCTTTGCATACAAGTGGTAAGAAAAAATTTATTACTATTCTGAAGCAAGAATGCTGGGTGGTTTGGTTGATGTGAAAAAATGCAGAGACAAGATACTCAAAAAATGCATTAGCCCATTTATCAATGTTCCTTATGGAACTCCTAACAATCTCTTTCAGGACCCTAGGGGAACCTCACTTGAAAAACACTGGTCTACAGCATTGAAACACTGTAACCAAAATTATGTATTAAAAATTGTTAGGGGGTCTGTTTATTTAAATGGGATAATGTCTATGAGAAAGAGGGAGAGAGAAATTGCCTGATGGCTGAGATAGCTGCACCAGTACAAGTGATGAGTGTTCAAGTAAAAGATTTCAACTACTGATTTTCAAAAAAAGACAGTTACCGGGTTAAGCTATCCTGGGGTTCCCAAAATTTCTTTTACATCATTACCCAATTTCACATGGAAAAATTTCCACTGCCCACCTGTATAGTAAATGTTTAAAAGCGTATCAAAATGTTTTGGTAAAAGTTTTGTTACTGGTTCGAAAACTGAATACTGACTTACGTGGCAGCTACTGCTACTAATATTAAAAACAAATGAAAGCAAACTTGACCATTAAAGGCTATATAGAAAATACCAAAAATATTCCTTGTTTGCAGGGATATTTATATCTTATCTAGGAATCTAAGCCAGTTATTCCAATTTAGCCTACTGCTTTGGTTTTTGGGGGGGGGTTTTGTACAGGTTCTTTGCATATATTCTTTAAATACCTTATGTTGAAATACTTTTTTAATACCCAATATCCTTTATCGCCCACCAAAACTTACAATTACCTAACATTTTCTGTTAAGTTGCTTATTGCCCACACAAAAGTTGAAATTACCCACTGGTGGTTGATATCGGCCAGGTTAAGAAACCCTGAGATATACTAGCACTTATGATATACATTCAAAGGTACCGAGGGAAAACTTGTGACAAAACTAAACAATTTTTATTATCAACTGTTTTGTATAAAAAAAAAAAAAAAAAAAAAAAAAACGTTGGTTTGAAAAGGTTGATGTCACTTTTATTATTTTGCAAAACAAAATTATATATATATATATATATATATATATATATATATATATATATATATATATATTATGGCTGAAAAAGAAAGCAAAAAAACTTTTTAAAGTGTATATACTCACATAATATACACAAATATTAAAACAAATTGGAAGGGAGAAAAAGGATAAGAAAAAATATCACTAATATAACAAATACATTTTTTTTTGTTTTTTGATTCCCCATTTGATGACGAGTAATATTTTTTTTCCTTTATCCTTGCTCTCCCTTCCACTTTGTTTGAATATACAGTGGAACCTTGGATCATGAATCCCTTTCATCAGAATAAATCTCGGGTGGAAAATGGTGTCTTGAGCAACCAAAATGCAAACCAGTGACAATATGGGACGAAAAGCTGAGAGTTTCAAGCAGAGTAATGGAAAGAATATAAGGGACAGATAAAAAGAGAAGAGAAGAAACTCCAGAAAGACAGTTACCCAATATTTTTTATTTTTTTATGGAAGGGGGATCCCCCTTCCAAACAATACCATCTCTCCTCTTCTGCCAGCAACATCCCTCTGTACAAGTACGATAAAATGAAATTAAGTTTTTGCCTATCTGTTTAGTATTGTGTTTATTGGCTTTAATGATTTTCATTGGTTTTGTGCATGAACTCATGCACAAAGTACTGTTAATCTTGTAAAAGTTTAAAATAAACAATCATCTGGGGTTCAGAAACAAATTAATCCCTGGGGAAAATAGTTTCAGTTTACATACAGCCTTCAAGAACGAATTAGATTCAGGAGTCGAGGTTCCACTAAATTTGCATATATTATGAGAATACTCTTTAAAATTGTGTTTTTAAAGTCAACGCACACAAATACAAGTCTAGATTATGCAGTAACAACTCAACAAAATATTTTGGACCCACTTTTAATACACCTACTCATCTTTTTAGATAAAACAGAATGAGAAAAAATAGAAAATAAATGCTTTAATAAAAAGAGTTGGTCAGATGAAAAGATCAAACTATGGGGCTTGTATTTGCAATATAGTTTGGCTGATGAGTTTTATGGCATCAACCTCAACTGCATCATATGATGTTGAAATCGGACTTTGGGAGGCGGGGGTAGGTAAACATTTGTCATGAACATTCCCAAGTCTCCAAGCATCCACCTAACAAGGAACCCCCACTTGGAAGAATGTCTTTACCCTCCTGCAAGTGATGCACTAAACATATTTCAGAACTGGTCTGAATTTCTTCTAACTCCAAGTATTTGTCAAGTTATGATCATTTGGAATGAATCAAAACTCGCACACGATTGTTCCGGATAGTTGCAACATAATTTTCTTTGTATTTATCAAAAAAAATCATCATCTAGACCTATATTTCAATATTTTTTTTTTAGGGGCTGAATTGCACTTTTGGCACTCAAACTCCCAAAATAAGGAATCTAAAAGGGTTAAATTTAATACTTTTCAGGAATTTTGACTTCACTGCAGACTAGGGTGTCTAGACTTAAACCCCTATTTTTAAGTTAGAAATGTGAAGGTTTTATTTCAATCTTCCTTTTAAGTATTAAATTTAAAGTTAAAAAATGCCCAGAATCATCCAAGCATGCACCTTGCAGAGAAAACACTATCAGCAGGTCCCACACAAGCCCTTCATCTACTGTAGAAGTTAATTACTGCAAAGAAATTAGCACTCATGCATCACTTAGAACATACTAGCAGTAGAGCCCGGCGTTGCCCGGGGATGTAACAGTAAGAGATAGATCAAGTATCGACCATTATAAAGACTGAAAAATAAAATTGACAAAGATTATTGTTTAAGGTTGACGGACATGCATGTCTTAATTAGTTTTTTTTTTTGTTCTGTCTTTTTTTTGTTTTTTTACGAATTGTCAAACCCAAACTCAAACAAAAACATTGTTTTCAATCGTTATGAGTCTACCGATTGAATAGAATTTTATTATAAACAATTGTCTTGTAAATGGAATTTTTAAAGCATTCTGAATGTAAAAATAAAGAAAAAAGTGTGCAAGACAATAAGAAACACTACCTGCCAAAAAAAAAAGTGAAGTTTTGTTGAAATCGGTTGAAAAATGTAGGAAATCCGATCCCATATATAAATGAACACACACACACACACAAACAACCTGGGTTTTATAATAAGTATCACTCGATATGAGTTGTCCCCCTTTCATTCTCGCGATGCCCCTTAATCATGTTTTCAAATTGATTTCGTGCAAAAAGAAGTTGTGTTTTTCCAATTTTTGGCGCTGTCAGAACCACTGCAAGGTAATTTTACAGTCCTGTGAAGTTTTGTTGAAATCAGTTAAAAAATGTAGGAAATCTGATCCAATATATAAACGTACAGACGCACACACACAACCTGGGTTTTATAATAAGTATGATGTCACTCAGTGCCTAAATTTTACCCAGAAAGAAATTGGAACAAATCAGTTATACAGGGTTTTTAGATTTCATCCAGAATTAAATTGTTGATAATTTTTCAACAGCATCATTTCTTTTGTGGACATGTTACATCTCTTTCAGACAAATCCTCTGGCACTGAAGAAACCATATTTTCACCCAGACCACCAAAAAATCCACAGCTCAGGAATTCTTCGGGAATAATCACAATGAACTTGACAACACATCCCAGTGAAGGAAAAAAACCAACTACACTAAAGTGTAGACTAACCCCCCGATATGGTATTCAACATCTAGACAAGAGTGTTGCTTTCGATAACCAGCTTCAGCACAAATGAGGTCTGGTGACAATACGAGAGAGGGAACAGGTTATAACATTGTCATGATTGTTTCTAAATTACTTTCTTCCTAATTAACCTATCTTTGCTGAAATTATTCCTACTAAAAAGATCTGTGAAAATTTCAGTTTTCTTATTTGAAGAATTAAGAGTCATCAGAGAATTCAAATAAGAAAACTGAAAGCTCATGGCGACTTTTGCAACAATAAAATATGTATAGAAATTTCCCTATCGCACACAGTAAATATCAGAGCTTAACAACTTTAACAAAATATTGCAATAGCAATCATGAATATGAATGCTGGTCATTATTTTAAGAAGTGGGTACAAATGAAAAAATTTGAAATTGACAACTTTTTCCATTTCACTGTTAAACACTTCTATCTTACCTTCTTTCTTTTTCTCACTGAAAACAAGTAGCGTATGTCATGTTTTTCGACAGGCCTAAAAATGGAATAGTCTATTATCTACGAGGTATTGGTAGGAGATATTAAACCTTTCTATCTTCTCGTCTTTAATTTTTCATTTTCTCACGGAAACCAAGTAATGTCTCTTCCCCCTCTTTCCACACAATCAAAACAGAATAGTCCATTATTTATGAGGTATTGGCAAGGCGTAATGGTCGTGTGAAATAACAAAGGGAGGGCCAAACACAATAATAATAGGATGATGACAGTGAAGGCAAAGAGCTTCCCATTTGGGCTAACTGTATTCATTGAATGTTACTCACTTGTTGAGTTTGTAACGAGAACAAACAAAAGTGGCATTGATTACTTTTGTCTCTTGTTCTACACAACCTGCAGGGATGATTAGCAGCTCACCATCAGGACTAAATGTGAGACGACGAAAAAATGAACGCATTGTGTCATCATGAAAGATTCGGTTAGATTTGGGCTTGGCGTCTGGGTCTGAGGAAGACACTTGAGAGTTCATCTTGCAGATTTCATATGAAAGGCTTTGTTTGGAAACACTATACACACGGCAAGACCTGCAAGAATAAGGAAAAAAAAATATCATCAGCAGAGTATTTATGAACTGATTAATGGCTTAATCTGAAAAAAATAAAGGGCTGAAAAATTACCCCCACCTGCAAAAAAAATAATAATCTATCAAAATAGTAACAAATACAATCATTCTAGAATTTAAAAAAAAAAAATATTTGGAATAGCTTTTATGTGTAAAAAAAAAAAAAATCCCAGTGTGAGTGAGGGTAAAAAGACTCACCTATCAGTGCTCATTGTGGCTATGTATTCATTGAGGGGATCCCAGGTTACGCCTTGTACAAAGCTTTTATGTTCATTAAATATACACAATTTCTGATCTGAAATAATAAACAAATCACATTGATTAAAATAAAGGGTTGGGCCACAAAAGGGTTTCAAGTGAATATGAGAGGGATGCTGTAAAGTACTCAGATGATCAGCCTTTCAGAAAAAAATTCCAATGTGAGTAGAACAGATTTTGAGAAATAAGTTCAGCACTCCCTCATTACACTATCAGATTAAGAGATATTATTGAGACTATCAGATTAAGAGATATTATTGAGACTATCAGATTAAGAGATGATATTGAGACTATCAGATTAAGAGATATTATTGAGACAACCAGATTAAGAGATATTATTAAGACAACCAGATTAAGAGATATTATTAAGACAACCAGATTAAGAGATTAATTAATATTAAAACAGTAATTCTCAACCGCAAAATATTGTCACAGCATACACGTGTGTGTGTGTGTCACAGCTGTTTGAGGTTTCCTACAGACCCACTGAACTTAAATAAAGTCAATTCAGGTTTCCTATGGTAAAAATTTTCTTTCCCAAGTGAAAATCATCACAAAAATAGCAAAAGTCATTTTGTCACAGCTTATTTTCTCTCAAAATATGGGTTTTCATACTTTTTTAGGGGTAAAATATTGAAAAATGACTGTTTTATCATCACCTAAACGAATATCAAGGAAACTTTTGATCTGAACCCCATGAAACTAGGTATTTTCTGAAAGCAAAAGATATATTCTTTCATTTAAAAGTAAAATTAGCTGGTGTAAATGACTCAAAAATTTTTTCAGTGGGTAAAATGTGAAAAAAATAGTGAAAATTTTGCATTTTTTCTTGTTCTAAACAAATATTTCCCCCATTAATGGGAAATTAACCATTTTTTTTTTTTTTTGAAAATCAGAAAGCCTAGATCATAATCAAACTATTTCAGGCATAAAATTGAGAGTTTTGAAGGAAATCAACATTCCTAGGGTTCAAAAAATGCGACAAAATCCATTGTTAATTTTCAATTATGACTGCCAAGGGTTAAAAAATTGACACCTGGCCACGGAAATCTTTAGTAAAAGGCAAGAGATTTATCTGCAATTCCTAACCACCAGAAACCAAAAGTTTTTTTTTTTTCCTAAAAATAGTGATAAGGGAAAATAAACCTAATTGACTTTGACGTCTAGGTCAAAGGCCAGCCAGCCAGCCAGCCAGCCAGCCAGCTAGCAATAAACGGACGGCAAACCTTAGAACAAGTTGTAATAAAACCCACCACTCCCAGATAAAAGCAAAGGGTGAATAAAAAAGGGTTCACAATTACTAGGGCTTCATATAACCTATGTTTGAACAATGGCTTGATAAGTTTTGTTTTGTTTTAACACCCGTGACCCGGTGATGACAACAACACTTAGCAGACAACATTGTTTTTTTCACGCGATATCTTTTGTATTTCCCATCGCCGGTCCATTTAGCCTTTCTTTTTATTCAATGATGTTCATGCCAAATGAAAGAGAAAGGAATGAATTTTGAATGATGTTATTTTGAAGCGAAAATGAATATTTTTCATTAAAAAAGGGGATTTTCTCAGAAAATTGTGCATAATTTCTTAATGCTAACCGCCGAGTGACATTTTCCACAGCCAAATCGAAGATTAATTACCAGTGAATAATTCCATGTGCAAAAAATAGCCGTCTGGATCCTATAAGGTCGCCCTAAAAGGTCCAGAAGTTTACTAATTGATCGAAAACCTGTTGCGCATAATTGTATTTTTCACGGTCAGTTTCCATTATTTCATCTTGATATTATCATTTTCGGACAGCCAAGTCATCAAGGATTCAGGAAAACACTTTGACATAGGTTTTCTTTAAGAACTTTACATTCTATGAGGTGTTTAAAATGTTACTGACGAATGAGATTTTTTGCCGCATATTTCGTTTACGCGCCATGTTGGATTTTCCTATATGACAAAAACAAGGGTTTTAAACAGCTGTGGTGTGTGTGTGTGTGTGTGGAAGTAGTTATTTTTTCAAAGTATATTACTCTGAAATTTGTGTAAAGTGAAAATGACATTAATTGTACTGAAATTGTTATTTTTTCATCATATTTTATTGCACTTTCACGCACATGTAACTTGAAATAGAATGCAGGTAAGATCAAGGGAGGACAACACCAACATATTGTTTACATAAAATACATTCATCCATTTTGGAAAGCTACTCTTAGTAGACTGGAATAAAAGGAGTTCAAGCATTGATAGGCTGTCAATTGGTTTTTGTTCACCCCTTCACAATAGCTCAATTTCTTAAAAGAAAAGAGACTAGTGAGAGACGTAAGTCTAAAAGTGAACATTCATTGAATCCAATAAACTCCAGTGCAAAAAAAGACAAAAGTTCGCCATAATAGACAGTATTAGGGTAATTATTTGAAGTTCGGATTTTCTTGGTCTAGAGATGTTGATCAGTTTTATTGCAATTTTCTACTTATTTATGTGAATTAGACTTCTCAACCCTAAACGACATCAAATTTTGCTAATATACCATATTTTAATTTGCTTAAAAAGGTTGAGAAACATTGTATTAAGATAATCATCAAATATCTGATACCAATTTCATAATACAAAAGTTCATCTTGACTAAAACAAACTCATATACATTGTTTAAATATCAATATTTCCCAAAATAAATTTTATTTATGTGCAGAATTGTCCCTTGTCGTTATATTTCAATTGTTGTGCTCTCCAGTCTTCATGGACAGTAAAACAAAAACAATCTACCCATGTACATTAAATGATGAGTTCATTTCAAAATTCCTTAAAGGTTATTCAGATCAACAATCACCTGATGAAGTTCAGAGGGCATAACGGCTGAAACATTGTGATAACAACAACAAAGATGAGGACAATAGTCCACATGTAAATAACAATAACTCCTCATCCCAAAAATTCAGACATAATTTCATTTATTGCATAAGTTGTTCAAATTCATTCTTTTGTCGTCATAGGTTTTGTCACTCAATGCATTTTCAGTCTGTCTCGATAAAAGCCACAAGAATGGTGATATCAAACCTGACAATAATGACTTTCCTCAAAATTTCAAATCAAATTTTATATCTTTAATTATGATAGGGCCAAGCTAAACAAGAGACAGAGGAATCAAATCTTTTAAGGAGTGATTAACAGCAGACAGTAGGAAATAACCTATATATGCAACAATCTTTAGAAAGTAAGTACCCAACAATTTATTGTCTAAAACTGTACAGATAAAACACAACTCAAAGCAAATTGAGTAATTTATTTTTTATGAACAAAAATTATTTCAGAAATAAAAATTTAGATTTGTTAAACCTTTACAATATCCAAGCGGTGATCTAAATGCTAACTTTAGTATACAAAAATGCTAGCAGATATAGACTTTAGAACATTTTTTTCTTAAATAGGTTAACTTACCAAATATGTGTGCAATGACAAAGAGGTAGAGAAAATGGAAACAAAAAGGAAACTTCAACTTAACATCAGGAAGAGACAGTTGAAATTTCTGGGGCACATAATGAGGAAAGAAGGCTTGGAAAATCTGATACTCACAGGACAGAGAAAAACAACACATAACATACTTAGTGAGCTTTAGTAAATGGATAGTGGAACAAGGTTTGGGAGAAAGACAAAATTTATTAAGAGCAACAAAGGACAGGAAATTGTGGAGAGTGATGATCACCTACATCTTGAAGGAACACAACACAAAAACAAGAACCTTGCTTCTTAGAGTCTAATTGGTAAATGGCTCACTGGGCTTAAAAGTGGTTTCCCTGATGGGAAAAGGGTAAACAGTTTTGATTACTGTTGGAAGGTACATTTTCTTTAGTAGGGCTTCCTATCTCCAGGCTGGTTGATATTAATTTCATTTTTAAAAACAATTTATTTTGTTGAGAGAGGGAATGGGGGAAAATACTGACCTCCAATTAAAGTGTAAATATCAGATAGAGTAGTCAGGGTTTTCTTTCTTTCTTTCTTCAAATGTCAAGTTACCTCCCTTGAAGAGACTAAAACTTACCTTTTGTCACATCCCACATGATAGCACTGTTGTCCACAGAGCCAGAGATGATATGCCTTCCATCAGCTGACCAACACAAGTCATAGATATCTTCTAAATGACCCCTGCAACAGAGACAAAGAAAATCTGTAGAAATTATGAAATGAATTGTCATCATTTTTCCAGTAATAACTTAAGCCAATTATTTTTCTCATCCTCACTGTTTTAATCATAACATTAATTGATACTTTCTTCAGCCAACCACAAGAGTGTTAGCCATAGTTTTTTTTTCTTTTCTTTTATAAACAGTTCTAGATTGAGACATCAATACAATACTTGAAACAGGGCCATATTATTCTATAGGTTAGTATAGGCTGCAGCCTAGGGCTCCTCAGGAGTTGGGGGCAAGCTTGTGGGATTTTGAAAAATGAATTTATCATTTTGCATTGCTGAATAATTCATTTAACTTAAAATAAAATTTCAATTTTAAAAAGAGAAGCCCAGGAATCTGAAAACCCAATAAAAAGAAAGTATCCCCTTATTATAAAGGACTCCTGTTTGAGGCCCTTTATTTGACATAAGGAGCCCCAGGTTCAAAGCAGGTATGGGCAAGTTAGAGGATGGATCTGCCTGAAGATGGGAAAAGGAAGCATATTTTAATTGGCCTAAGTGTCCCAAAATGTCATAATCCGGCCCTGCTTGCAAGAAGTGGTGATCCAAGAGACCACCTTAAAAAATGTACTGAATAGATAGGTTCATCTTTTGCCATCATAAATCGTATGACTGGGTGTGATTGTAAGGCCACTTTGCAGCTGAGCACATCACCCTCCAGATCAAACCACAGCCAATGTCCTTTACCTCAAAGGCTTGCCTTGGTCATAATCTAGTAATTGATGAGGGAACACTTCACCTTGATTGCTGACTTCAGTCTAAGAAGCCCTCCACCAAGCAATGCTGTGTCATCAACACACTAGCTCCATCCATAGCTAAGTAACCCAAATCTACTCCATTGCACTAAAGGGTCACTCACCTCACAAGTTTCATCTGCATTTGACATGTCTTGTTTTTAATTCTAATGAATGTCTAGCCACACAATTCACTAGAAAAAACTTGGTGAGAGAACCAGTTTAGTCAGTGCATACATTTTTTTTTCATTCAATACAAAAAATAAATGAAGACAGTATGTTTTCAGTTACCTTTGCACTTAAAATACGAGAATGTTAATTTATGACATCTAGAAAAGATAAGCTCATCCTGACACAAAGGTATTTAGACCAATCAGCACTTTTGTCATCAATTTCTCTTCAACAATATGCACTACTAACTCTTTTACTCACCTGAGCCACAATTCAGGTTTAGATACTGTTAAAATTACCAATACAAGAAATTATTGTAAACACAATTTTATATTCAAGTATTTAAGCATATATGAACATAATTCAAAGAAACAGAGTAGGCTGATTTTGAAACCATAGACTTAGACAAGGTTTCATAGTTGGGTTATAAAACACCACACAAATTATTTTATTCCTAACTTCTACCATGATTTGAGGAAATCAATTCAAAGACTGCACATTCTTTGATGTTCCTACAATGTTCACTGAAATTGTAATCAGGCCAAAGTATTCCATGCTTTTGTAGAAAGAAATGAATGAAAAATTGACAATTAATATTTGTTCTTAAAATATCAAAGAAAAAAAAGAGATAAATAAAAAATACAGATATAAAATGTTATTAAAAATCATAAACATTCAGAATTACAGATAGCACTGTGAAGTAAACAATTTTTTTAAGTCAATTTTGTTTTAAAAAGAAATTTCTGTAAAACACAATATAGATTGTAAATATGTTTTAATTTACTTAATTTAAACCACATTGCTGAATTAAAAATTTATATTGAGCTGTATAAATGTGTTGACAGTAGTAAATTGGCCGTAGTTAAACATTTTTGTTTATATTGAAGATCATAATACCTATTGCATAATTTTTGTAAAAATGTAATTTGTAAACATGTACAAAAAAAGGGGTCATTTTATTATAATTGCCTATAGTTTTTTTTCCACATACTGAACAAAAATGGTTGGGAAATGGTCCATAGTACATACAAAAAATAAAAGTGAAAAAAATTTGTGGCCAGCCTTCTTTAGATAACACAATGACCCCTACAATTTGTTAAATGAATCAAGATAGTTATTTCTTCAAAAATAGATATACAGGCTTAAAAAATTACAACATTGCTAAAATTAAAGCAAAAAATGGAATTTAGCAAGCAATGAACCCACAGCTACCTCTTGTGACTATCATGTGAAGACAGTGTTTCAAGAAATTAAACGAGAAATCGTTTTTGTTTTTTACATCAATCTCAGACTTAATATGGATGTTATTAAACCAAATATTGATTAAAAAATATAATAACTGATAAATAAAAGAAAATAAACAGAAAAGTCAAGAATAAAAGTGATGATAACACATAATTTAAAAAAAAAAAACCACTGAAAACCTTGTGTTGAAGGGAAAACTAACAAAGACAATTTGTTATAAAGAGAGAAGTTATAAGAGGGGGGAATTTATAACATTAAACTGAAGAAAAGGACAACACCACCATTTGACATTTCCTCAGAAAATATGAACTAAAAGTAGAGAAGATCTTACTCAGAAAAATTCTAATTACTGATGCAACTGGTGCTGTTCTTGCTGAAGATGTTATTCATGTGTCAGAAGAATTCAATAGTTATTATTAAAAGATGTTCTTCTAGACAACAACAAAGACAAACACTAGATGTAATGCAAGCCCTGGAGCAGCTATGGAGAAGAAAAGTTACACACAATTGGTTGCTTACAACATCTGAATAAGTTCGCATTCAGAGCAGTTTTCAATTAGATTGAGGGTACAACAAAAATTAAAATAGATTTGTCAGGATGTTCACTTAATTTTCTTCAAATAGACTTTGTCAAATTAGAATCCCTTTAGATAACATGGAACATACTGTGAGGGTAATGAATGAATGATCTAAGATATGAACAAATGTTCCTTTATGAGTATTTCCAAGGGATTTCCAAAGATTTGCTGCCTAGAAAAATGAACCACTAAATAATGCAAGATGGTCAACTTTAGCAAGATTATGAATGCATATGTGGACCAGAAGTACATATCCACCACAATGATTTTCAGGGGTCATGGACAAATAGTACAAAAATCTGAATTTGTCATAGTTTATGCATTTGAAGTAAGACGTAAGATACAGAAAACCTTACAAAAATCCGGTCAAATAAGACCTTTTGTTTCTAAGGGCTGATATAAAAAAAAAAAAATTGTTATTTAAATATTTAATTTGAATTTATTTTTGTGTATTATACTTTTTATCTAATAAAATAGCCAAATTTACTGGATTTATTCTAGAAATGGCATAATTTTTCAACCAAATTTGAAAATAAGTTTTTATGCAACAGTTTTTGATGATGTTCCCTCAAATGATAAAGATTTAGTGTTGGTTCTTATCTTGTTAAATCCAACTCTCTTGCCTTGTCCAAAGTTGATTTGAAAAGAAAAAATGTAAAATCAATGTACCCTCAGACACAACTACTCTCCTCACTAAGCATATAAATGTGTACTAATTTGCAAAAAGTTGATAAGCCATAAAAAAAAACCCAAATCAATCAAATATGTACATATATATCTGTATTAGAAACACAAGTGACATTATCAGCCATCAAATTCATGTTTATTAACTTTTGTCGCTTTAAATGTGACTTTGTTTAATGAGCAAAAAGTTTGTCCTGCCACTACAAGCAACACCAGTTGTGTTGTCATGACAACAAAACAACCCTGACCAACATCAATATCGGGACCAAAACAGTTGAAGGGTGACCATATAAAAATGTAAAATAATTGTGAATAATGCAAAGTACTAAATGTTAAATATATACTTATTAATAGGTATGCAGGTTTAAATCTAGTTAAACTTGATACTGATCTTAACCTTCCAAAGTCCATAAATCCCATTTGTCAAATACACCACTGCCATGTCAACCAAGGTTAGATTTCAGACAGTCTTTTAGTTCTACTCACCTGAGAACTTTGTGGAGATACCAAGATTCTTTATTATCTTCTTCATCCTCTTGGAAGATGTTGCCTGCTGGAGTTGCCAATGAGTCATTCATCTTCCACAGAATGATAAAAGCATCTGTTGACAGATAAAATTTTTTTTTTTTAATTAAAATTTTTCACTTGGTTTTTACGAAATGTAAACAAAAAGAGCATAGCATGATGAAAAAAACGCGGAACTTGACGAAAACAAAATTTTATCGTCTAATGTTCATATTATTAAAGAGGAAAGATCAAAGTATTTTGGGGGTATTTTTTTTACATTTTTTAATCGTTCCTAGCACGTCTGAAATTTTTGTTAAAAATCTTGTTTTTTCTTTTTTGTCAAAAAAATAAAAAAAGGACAGATAATCCATCATTTTCAATCATTTTTTTTCATTTTATAAAAAAGATGAAAATCTCACTTTGATATTCTTTTAAAAATCAATTATCATTTTTTCAAAACTTATTTTAATAGAATCAGAAATTATAATGTTTATTTAAAATATTTTGAACCCAGCTTAAATTAGCTTCTGCGCCGAAAAAATGTAATTTGAAAATAAAACAAAGCAGGTTATAACCTTTCACGTCACTTGACAGGTGACGAAAGACATTTTCATGACATTTAAATAACTTACGAGAGGATAATTCTTTCTACAGATGGAAGGAAGTGAAATTATTTAGATTTAAGTGAACAAATTATTTACCTCGTTACTGTTAAGGAAAACTTTCAGCGCTCTAATTTTTTAATTTTTTTTTTTGTACTTAGCTTTCATCTTTACATTTACGATGCTTTATGGAAAATATATTATAATGAAATTAAAAAATAAGACTTAAGAGTGAGATTAAATTTCATAAGAGAGGTATCTAATTAATTTATAGGTACCTTTCTTATGAAATTTTATCAGAAGTGTACATAAAATACTATAATTTTATGTACATTTATTACATTTTACTGTGTTATTTGTATTTCCATTCATTTTATTATTAATTTTGATATCTCATTTATGGAAAAAATGTCATAACCGAGATTAATATAAAAATAAGATCATATAAATTAAAGTTTAGCAGTAGTTAAATTTCATAAGATGATACTGATACTTATAGGTACCCTTCTCAGTTGAAATTGAAAAATCAAATTAACTTCTCCATACGTGTTTACGAAAAAAGTAAAGGCCTTAACAGCGGAGAACAATGCTGAACTCAAATAATGCAACTTAATTGTATTCTGGTTGGTCTTCTGTACTTTATAATTACCGCCTGATTATAAACACAAAATTACATTTCTTAATTACTGCGGATCTTCTGATTGGTCCAAATGATACAATTTTCAATGGTAATCTCATAAGAACACTTAGAAAAATATAATATTTTTTAAAAACTTAATGTAAAAATCTATTATAATTAAAGAAATAACAAATAATTGTATTAAAAATTCAATTTTCATTGAAAAAATTTTTTGCTTTCAGAAAATATTGTCCATATTCATAAAAACAACTAAAAACAAATAAAAGCATTTGAAATTAAATAGTATCTTTGTTTTATTGAGTTTTGTATGTTACAATTCAGAGCTGATTTTCAGGTACTGCGGATCCAATTTAAAAAAAAAAAAAAAATCATGATTTGCATTCTTCAAAGCCTTGTGCTTTTTAACTATTGTAATCACTAAAATTGATGCGCTCAAATTTCTAGAGTTTTTCATAAAATTAGTTATGGGGGGGTGTTTAATAAATATAAAAAAAAAAATATTTCTGCCATAACTTTAATAAAAAAAACATATTTATAATAATTTCGATCAACTGTGAATAGTTTCTGAAAGTTTCATTAAAATCCAACAATTATTTTTATTTTTACAAGATTTTCCAAATTAACGTGTAATACAAAAAAAATGTGCTAAAAATTGTCTATGTTATTTACTAGTTCCGCTGATACAAAGACAAACAAGGTTTTTTTAATGAAAATTTAGAATGTTCTAAAAAGAAGGAAAAATTTTTTTAAATAATTAAAAAAAAACTCTGGTTTTTCCTCTAAGCATTCAGACGATAAAATTTTGTTTTCATAACGTTTGGCGTCTTTTTCATCAGACTATGCTCTTTTTTTTAGCAATTTCGTGGAGGTACCTATTTTAATGATACTAAACATAATGAAATTTACTGAGAACAACATACTGACAAAATGGGGGAGAAAAGATTGTGCTGTACAAATCCTCAAAGTGGGGAGAGCCAACCTACCTGCCTTAAAAAAATTTAATTATTTTAAATCCTGACTTTTTCCATAAGCAGTAATAAGGAGAGCTAGAGAAAAGCAATGAATAACAAATATTGCAATATAAGTTCTGGTAAAAAAAATGCTGCATTACTGTAAAGAGTTCTTATACAATAACAAATTATGAAGTACTATGGCTTGCAGTTATTTTTGAAGATCAAATCTAGAAGTTTCTATAACTGGAAACCCTTTTCACTTAACTATTAGATGAATTGTAGGCCTAAAGAAGGCTGAAGCATACATCAACCAAAAAAAAAAAAAAAAAAAAAAAAAAGCAATGATAAAACAAACCAAGCAAGGCTCAGAACAAATAATTCATGAAATAAAGAGAATGTGTGTTTGTGAGAAAATATGTTAAATATATCAAATAAACTTACCGTCTCCAGCAGATGCCATGATTTCCCCTGAAAAATAAAATTGAAAGATTTGAAAAGCGTTCATTTTCAAACTAAATTATTAAGAATGCTAAAAAGATTCAATTTAATGAAATACAAATTTAAGCAGAATTATTTTTAGTGGAACAAAGAAAAGAAGAAACAAATTGTGATCTAAAAAAAAAAAAAAATTATATTAATTAAATATTGAATAAATTCATTTACAAGATTTGAAGATCAGATTTGAATTCCAAAAATCAAGAATTGATATACTGTTATAGAGTAGTTTCACAGTGGAGGCTTGTATTTCACTAAGTCGGTCCTAAAATAGGTTCGACGTACAAAACGTTAGGAACTTGATATAATAGTTAATGATGCAGCAATCTAGTTGTGGTGGCTGATACTTTAATATCCGACTAACGGTCGTCCGACATCAACTGACTCACTCATTACTATTACTACTACTTATTATAGGTGGGAGAGTCTATTAACTATAGAATAGGTGTGTTCCAGTATAACATATACACAAGAAATTAGTCTTCATGAGGTTGAAGCAATGTGTGATTTTTCCAACTCACTCAGATAACATATTCTTACCGAAATTTGCCCCAGTCCTTAAATATAAGCATCTACATATGAATGTACCTGGCATACTGTAAATATTTACTAAGCTAGCCTAGTATGGCATAAGGCCAAAATAGAAGGGAATAAAAATGCCTTGAAATCTACATTCTGAATCCTACAATTTTTTAGCTTTACCTTAAACAGCAATTCTTACAACTGAGGAGATATCAGGTTTTGTTATATTTTTGTTTGGGTAAAAATCAAAAATAATTTTTTTCTGGTGGTATGACATCAAATTAATTCAAAGTTCAAGGAGACATGGCACAGTGGATAAAGGCATTAGTTATAATCAGGACCCAAAGAGTATGAGTTCAATACCCGATTAAGGCAGTGGAGAACTTTCAGAGGGAAATTAACAGGAGATAACTAATAACTGACATCCATTAAACATGGCACGTGGAACTAGAAGAGTCTACCCCAGTGAGCGAAATGAAGGGTTCAGTTCGACATTCCAACCACCTGAAGAAGGCCGGAGCATACAACGGCCGAAATGTTGTAATAAATATGGCAACAAAGATGAGGACAATAGTCCAAATAATGTAAATAATGAAAAAGAAGTATTTAAAATATATAAAAAAAAAATAAAGATTTGGAATATAAAAAAAAAACTTTTGAAATATTAAGCACAAAATAAATATTTCTGTTATATATATAAATTATGTATATGTAAATGTTTGCATGTATTTTGTATTTATTAGCCACATAAAAAGGGGTGATTAAGGGAAGGTAAATATGAGTGCACTCATCCATTTAGATTGACATGGGGGTTGATTTCACAATTTCCACTTCCCTTTTATAGGCAAAAGTCCACAAAATGCATGCTGGGATATTTTTCTTAGCCAATAAAATGGGACGGCTTGCATTTTGACATGACTTAATCCAGATCTGCCAAGTCAAGCAGTTTTCTGCCAGGCTTGTCGAACTCTCTGCCTCTGGGCAGAGGAACACAGACAAGTCTATGCCAAAAGGCAGAGTCATGTCTGGGGAGGTAGACAAACCTGACTCCTATGTATGTGGGGGTCTACATGGAATTTCTGCCTGAGCCCACGGGCTTGAAATCACCCCACATATAAAACGGTCTTGTGTCATATCCTGCCTTGTGGGAAGGCTAAGGTAAATAACCTCAGTCCAGATCTGCCTTTATCTACTAAACAGACCCACTAGTGCATTTGCTTGTCCAACCTTGCTTTTGTGTACAAACACCAACTCATAGTTTGCCTTCTTACCTGTTGATTTTCTTTACATGTATATTGTTTGATTGCTTGCTTGATACTATTTCATTTTTTCCACTTTTTTCTGTTTATTATAAACTGTATTAATTCTGTTCATTAGACAGTTGTGTTATTTATATTGCATTTTGACAATGGTGTCTAATTCATCATGTCAAAATTTTAGCTGAATCAAGTTCAAATATATGCTGTTGTGTGAGAAAGTGTGCTATTGGATTAATTAACAAAGCAAATAGCAATACAACATAAACATAAAAAAAAGTTTATAATAACCACATAAGTTTTCATATAACAGCAATTGACTATATATATATATATATATTTGAAATGTTCATACAATGTGTTTATATGAGAGATTTGATTTCTAAAAAAAAAAAACAAAAAAAAGTGATCTTGAGTACTTATCTTAAGTTGATAGTCACAAACCTAAATAAGTACGTCTTTCTGGTTTGACTGCCAGGAACCAAAGTCAAACACTATCGCACCTAACAATGACTTATGCAGTTCACATGACATCTATTTTTAGTTTTTTTTTTTTTTTTAAAAAGGTTATCTATTTTTAGTTTTTTTCTTTTTTTTTAAAAGGTTATCTATTTTTTTTTTTTTTTTTTTAAAAGGTTATCTATTTTTAGTTTTTTTTTGTTTTTTAAAAGGTTATCTATTTTTAGTTTTTTTTTGTTTTTTAAAAGGTTATCTATTTTTAGTTTTTTTTTTTTTTTTTTTAAAAGGTTATCTATTTTTAGTTTTTTTTTGTTTTTTAAAAGGTTATCTATTTTTAGTTTTTTTTTGTTTTTTTTTTTTAAAAGGTTATCTATTTTTAGTTTTTTTTTTTTTTTTTTAAAAGGTTATCTATTTTTAGTTTTTTTTTTTTTTTTTTAAAAGTTATCTATTTTTTAGTTTTTTTGTTTTTTTTAAAAGGTTATCTATTTTTAGTTTTTTTTTTTTAAAGTTATCTATTTTTAGTTTTTTTTTTTAAAAGGTTATCTATTTTTAGTTTTTTTTTTTAAAAGGTTATCTATTTTTAGTTTTTTTTTTAAAGGTTTAGTCAAAGGGAGATAACTTTTGTCTCCCTCAACAATGCAATTAATAAAGAGATTTCAAAAAATATGATTTGCATAGGATGTTGCAACACACTGGAATTAAAAAATTAAATATTTCTGCATAAAATCAAAATAGAGAAAAGAAAAACTCACCATCAGGAGAAAATCTAACCACATTAACGGCTTTGGTGTGTCTTTTCAAATTAGATAAAAATTCAACTGTGCCTTTACCAGATTCATCAACTTTCAACTGCCAAATCTAAAAGGAATAAATTGAGAAATTTAATCAATTTTCATTTTCTTTTGTCAGATATATTTTTGAACAAAATTACTTGGGGAAATAGAAACAAAAATTAAAAAGTGCCTGGAAATGTGATAATTTAAATATTTTCAAAACAAGAAACATCGACAGAAGACAGATGCAGTTTTCATAACAAAAAAAAATTGTTATTCTTTTAAAGCAGTTTTCTGTATTTTTCCAGAAATTCTTTGATATCCACATTTTAAAATTTCATTTTATTTAAAATAAACTCTTTCTGTATGACTAAATATCTCCTTCCTTGGCTCATCAACAAAATATCGTGTTTTGTCATCTATAAAAATGCAAGCATCACTGTGTTCTAACACCTTCACCCCAGCCCCTCAACCTCCAACATCTTACTCTCTGGGTTGAGATGTCTACTTGGTCCTAACCGAACTTAAGGGATGGGCCGTAGGTCCCCTGAGCATATGTAGATTATTCGACTGGTCCACTAGTTTAATCCTGCTTCCTGCCCACGTTGTGTTTGGTTTGATCCAGAAAGCAGAAGTGATGTTCATCCATTCACGGTCGACTAAAGATGTAGACATGGCTGGAGAGTCTGCACTAAGAAATTTAGAATGCAGCAAAAAAAAAAAAAAAAAAAAAAAAATAATATCTGCAGAAAGCCAGACAAACAACTATTCAATGATTGAATTGTTAATGTCTTTTATATAGCAAAAAAGAATAGTATAGAAAAGAAACGGGTTACAGAAGAGAAAAGTATTTGAGGTAAAAACGCATACACTGAATTCTGGACACAGAGAGAGTGTGTTATGATTAACTTGTTAAATTGTCTCAGAACGATATAGGACTCTTGCGATGGGGGAATAAGATTTCTGTGCACGGCTTAAAGTTTATAGTGGCGTTCTTCCTTAGCAGAAGTAACAGTAGCAGTAATATTCATGGTAGCAGAAGCAGTGGTACTTATATCAACAGCACATGTTAGCAGCCACTTCGTTCCAATCTCTGACGTCACATTCTCTCCTTCTTGAGTCTCTCTCTTCAAGGACTCTCTCGCATCTGTTGCTCGCCTGGGCCAACTCTCTCTTCAAGAAATTTCTCTCATCTGCCTCTTCTTCAGCATAACTACACATTTATACAGAAAAATCCAGCTTTTTACAACTAAACCTTGGTCGCACATGATTATCATGGGGTTTTGGCTGTTTCAACGAAAATCATGTGAATTCAAAAGTTCCTTCTAGCTTACTCAGCTCTATTTCAATTTTTAATCGATAAAAATTATTTCGGTCATTTCGATTGTCTTCTGATGACCCAGATTCAATGGGTACAACTTTTGGCCTAGATCAAACTTCCACATCAGTAAACCAAATGCTCTGATTTAATTTCACTATTCAAATCTATTCCAAGTTTTAATCAATAAAAATTATTTCGACCATTTCCAGCGTCTGCTAATCATCCAGTTCCAATGGGTACAGCTCGTGCCCTAGATCAGATTTCTCGTCAGTAAACGAAATGCTCTGATCTAATTTCACTGTTCAAATCCAGTCCAATTTCACTTTGGAATCAAGCCGACTGTGAGCAAAATAAAAAAAAACATTCTGGGCCATATCCAGACCCGCAATTTTGAAATTTTGGATTCCCAAGTTTTCATTAGTATGATTGTTTTCAGTGATTTTTTTTTTTTTATGTGATTTTTTGTAACAAATTTTTTTTGTATGATAATTTTTATAATTTGGAAAAATTGTGAATTCCAGCGAAAGCCAGCCATGAAATAAAAAATAATTGTTTGTACAAAAAGTAAGGACCTACATACATCAAATTGTCTTTAAATTAAGTGGTGGCAGAAGAATTATCGTTGAACTTTTAAAAGGTAAGCTTAGATATTAATGCAATACTTAAATGAAGCGAACAATTTTGAGTTCTTCTGCAGTTTATTGTTGCCTATCGCATCTAGTCCTCCCTACCTATTGTGATGAAGGCCCAATCAAGAACCCTCTGTCTTTCCATTATGCCACACATCTGATTGTATAACACTATTCATCTTTGTTGCCCTAATTTCATATGTAAAATTAAGAGTCACCCCCTCAGTTCACATTGAAGACAGGCATATTCCATCCTCTCTTGCCTAAATCAGCACACTTGCCAAGTTCTAACTGAACATTTTCAAAATGAACAAAGATGGTTTGTATTAGAGACATAAAAAAAAATTATCAACTATTTTTTGTTGATCTAAGATAAATTCTCCCTCAAATGTTAGAATTTGCAATAAATGAAAAGTTGGGTTATTTAACAGTCAGTGTTAAATTGCATAAAATTCAAATTGTATTTTTTTTTTTCCATCATTTGGTATTAACTATTGATTAGTTTATTTTTTAACACAATCATATGGTATGAACTACTTTGTTTGGTTTAGATATTAGTTATCTTAACTGCTAGTTTCATATTTTTTGGTATAAACCCACACTTTTGATAAATTATATTATATTGTCCTTCATTGCTTTTTCAAAGAGCTTCTTTATGTTGTTTATATTGAAACATTTTCCTAGAGGGAGCAAGAGCTGTACACTTAGTCAAAACAGGTTTTAGAGTGTATGCAGTTTGGCATATTGGTTGTTCTTTCTCTTTCAGCAAGTACAAGTGTGTAAGTGACCAATGTACAAACAGTCCAATATTACCTCTTCCTTTCGGAATTTTCTGTATCCTGTCTTTCATTCTACAAGTATTGGCTTGATTTCCAGCAATTTATTTGGTGCACTGTTACTCCAACATTGTTGCCATGTTTATCTGATAAACCTGTTTATTTGGCTCTTCAGGTAAAAACTGTTTTAAATTAAATACAGAACATGAATGAAATGTCAATAACATTCAATGTAATCAAACTTCATATTCTCTGCTGAAGTACAGAAGAGTGTGAAGTGTCTTTTACGTCTCAAAGACAATAGAGCAGACAGTTCTCATTTTGCTCTTTAGGGGATATTTTCTAACAGTACTTACCCATCTTATTCACTTTTGTTTCACTTGTTTGTTTCTTTGAGACTAGATTATTTGTCTTTTCAGTACTACCAGATTGGGATTGAACTCACAACTGCTATGGAATTCAATATGTTTTAACCCATGCTTTAATCCATTAGGCCACATTTCTTAAGGTATTTAAATTCTAGTTTTATGTTTATAGTTAGGGAGTAAGACTGAGCATCCTAACTTAAGTAATGAAATTTTTTCTGTGTTCTTTTTTTTGATCAGAGGCTCCCAGACAGCATTCATCTCTAGACTAAATTGTCAATGCCTAACATAGGTGCTGATTCTTTCAATTGTCTTATCCTCTAATGTTGCTTGGTCTAATATCTTAACTTCATTCCACAGAGGTTGATGACCATACTTCACCTATATATGATCAGCTATGTCTGATTTCAATGTCTCTTCAGACAACTATTTTTCAATATTCCACACTTTTGTCTGTCGCTTCTTTATGGACTTTTTATAGATAGAGTGACCGTTAAATTATTTGCATATGTTAAAAGAGATGCTCACAAGTGTATATTCAACTCAGATTTATCTGTTTTAAATGTATGACTCGTGAAGCCACCATTTCCTTTTTTGGGATATTTTACATGTGAGACACGTTCAAATCCATTTTTCATCCCAGAGGTAAACCATTTTCTATAGTTCTTTTTGTTGCCCTTTTCTTTAAGATTTCCTCATTGCCTTCTCACTCCACCCATGGAATTCTCAGTATCCTTATGTAGAATCACATTTCTGCTGCCTCCAATTTTCTCCTCGTCTATGAGAAGATTGCCTAACATTCACATAGCAATCCAGCACTCTTTTCTTTGTTTCTAATGAATTTTTTCTGTTTCTCAGTACCTTGCTTAGCATTTGCAATGCTCCTTTCGCTAGTCCAATGCGTGTTCAAATCTTGGTGTTACACTTCCCAGATATTTAAACTTCTGTATCCTCTTGATGTTTATATATCTCCAATTCTTAACTCGTATCTTGGACTTTTTCTCTTGCTGATGACCAGATATTCAGTCTTCTTGTAGTTCATCGTTAGTCCTTTTGTTTTTCTCAATTTCTTTTACTACCTTGTCTAGACTGTCCTGTACTTTTCTTTCCATTTCAGCCATCAAAACAGTGTCATCTGTGTATCTTATATTATTAACCTTTACCACACCACAGGCGACAATAGTCGCCATAGAATTCTCTCCCTTTGCTATTCTAGGCGCATACTGTCGCCCATGACAGTTGCTATAAATAAACACTTGTCAACTGTTATTTCTGGTATTTTAAGCTGGAAATCATTTACTACTGCTTTGGAACAAGGTTAGACTTCTGTTTTCCAACACTATTTTGAATTCTTCCAGACTCTACACGAGGTGTAACAATGATTAAGCCCACATTAATTTTTTCACAATTTTTTTTTTGTAAACAAAAATAGCCATATCAATATCCAACAAAGCCTTTATTCAGGAGTTTTTCTTTGATTAGGAATCTGATGATGATTTTGAAGGCTGAGTAATTTTATGGAAGCAACTGGCAACCACTGCTATATGATAGCCTTTCTGAAGGTGAATTATTTTGTGTATTTATAAACGACGAAATAATCACTTTATTCATCAACAAGACAAATAAATATGAGTCAGGTGAAAGAAAGAGTAAACAAATGTATCTTCTTGTATGTAAACACAGGGAGACACATCACTTTTTTGACAAAATAAAAGCTTTTTTGCTTCTTATTGCACCCCCAGAAATTAAAACAGAAAATAGACATTCTTAAAGCGGAAAAAAAGAGCTATAACGAAAGATAGACTGATCGACATTAAAAGAAAGATTTTAATTTGTTTACAAAAAAAACCCGTGGAGAGATCTGTGTGTGAGGTCCTGTCGAGTTATCGCCGAGAGAGATAGAAAGAAAGGCAAGTATGGAATTATCGGCCAGAACATGTGTTGGTCGTAAAAATTTCGGTTGGAGACAGAATCAATGTTAATTATCTTTCCAAGATATCGTTTAATTTTTTTTTCTTGGATACCGGTGAAGAGAAGCAATGTGGCAATTAAAAAATTTTGGCATTGTCTCGATATAGGTGAGAGGATTGTTATCATTTACTTTGCCAACAGATGCTAAGATGTCGAATGGCAATGTGGCAATTGTAAACTTTTGCAATCTCCAGAAAATAGTGGAGAATTGAGATTTGATGAGATAAAAGAATTTAATTCCTTAACAAGTCAAGGATTCCATGATAAGGCTAACTTGGCATAGAGAACAAGATGGCAAACTTTGACAGTGATTAATGAGACGGTAAGAGTGCTGGATAAGTGGCCCAGGAAAAAGAGAACATGAGATAAAAAAATTTAATTGGCAAGGAGAATTTTGTAAACAAAAATTCTAGATTATAATTTTAAGGAGGCCAGCTTAGCCACACACACACTGCCGAAAGATCATTGGTCGTATGGTAGCATGGTGATAGGCGGAGGTGAATGGATGAGAAAGACCGAGATGTTAATGCCCACTGAAGGGATTAGTATAAGATATCAATGTGAGAGAGAAAGAGTCTAGGAGGTGGCTAGTCCCTCCTTTGCATTCCACAAGTACAGAGGATAAAATACAGACTTTTTGGTTAGGCTCTCTTCCAGGTGTGGCAGGTTTGGTTACCAGCATATCAACTGCTTATGGGTCATTTAATGCTGAAATTTTATTTTCTTGCGAGATTTGGTAATTCCCTTCACCCCTCAAAAAATGTATTGCCGGTAAGTTTTTATTACTATGAAAATATATTGCTGGTAATATTTCCTTCCATAAGTGTTCTAAAAAAAGAAATTAGGAAGAATGAAAAAAAAAAAAAAGGGTAATGTTTTACCACATAATCAAGATTTCTTTTCAATTCACAAATACATTTCCCCAGACATGTCAGCGGGATGTGAACATTAAGAAAACAAAACATAAAATAAAAATGTCATCTTCTGGACAAGGGCTCCAAACATCACAAAACAAATCCCTACAAAAATCCAAAACTGCAATAAGCAATCACAAACATCCCCACCACGGCCAAAAAGGATGTCCCTTTCTTAACTATAACTGTTAAAGATATAAAAACAGCAACTAAGAAAACACATATGAATAATTTTTTGTCACTTTTTATACAACTATTTACACATTCCAAATTTTGACAAATACATGTTGTTGAAATCTTAATCTTTCTTTTTTCTTTTTTTGTTCTTTCTTTTGCAACCAAACGGTCATTATAACACTGATAAAATATGAGATACAGTGTAAAGGTCGTACTATTTATAAATGGATATTTTACCGATGAATAGTCAAGAGTGAAAATAAAATAGGTTTTTATTTACCATTACTATGGTTGAAACAGTGAATGAGAAAAAGAACCTACTCTGACAAATTTGTCAACCCCTGATGTTGCCAGACGTTGAATTGGATGATTTCCTGGCTGGAAGTCCACAGCATAAATTGGATCACGTTCATGCCAAGAGATCTCAGGTGTGACTACTTTCATCTGAAAAGAAAAATCCGTTCTTTTATTAACCAAATTCAACGCAAGGTTTATAAGAACATACCTACCATGAAAATCTCAGATAAAATCTCTTTCATAAGGAAAAAAAACAATTTTAAACACCTTTGTGGATTTCTGTAAATCATTTCCTTATTAACACTCCGCGATTAGTCTCCTGGATATGCCAAACTACATCCAGCAGCAAGGCTTCTGATCGAGAGATTAAAAGTGTTGTGGAACATGGAACCACCATTTAATTTTTGTTGTTCCCAGGTCCACCCTGAACCAGTAGCACCTGTTAGGGTCCCAGCTATGGGCAAATAGTGAACCTCATACAAAGCACTATGAAAGTTTAAAAATACATAAAAAAAAAAAATAAATAAACAATTTATATATATATATATATATATAAATCGACCACCAATACCTATTTATAGTAAAATTACATTTTATCTGTAGTTGAAGTCATACAATTGCACTCAAAATATATTAAGTTGAGGTCATAAAACTGTGTTCAAAATATTTAGATTTCAGCATTAAATAACACAGAGATTGATATGCTGCTAAACAAAATCAACCAACACCCAGTGATAAAAAGAGATTGCAAGATGAGCTATGATGATTAACACACTACCCATAATGGCCTTCAACCTGCTTCCATTATTACTATTATCATCATCATCATTCTTATTAAAAAATAGTACTAGATTGGCAGCTAGGTCTCATCATTTTACATTTGAAATGACTAGATGCATGTGTAAATTCTATGCTAACAGTTTCTTCTTGTGCACTTCTTGCTGGTGGGACTCTTCCAACTTCTTGCTTTCCAGTCAACTTTCAACTTCAAAAATTTAAATGCAATGTCAATTGCTATCTTCTGTCTTCTTAATATTTTTCTTTTTCACATATTCTTTCACACTCAGTAACTCCTAGCATCTTAGTGGCTTTATTGCCTTGCATAGTGAAATAAAAAAAAATTAAACAAATGAGTCATTCCATGTCAAATCAGCAAGGCTCTGAGCATCACCAACACAGATTTTTTTTTTCAAATTTGCTACACTTATAGAGCTTCATGATACAAATTGAATGGTACCTATTTTATATTTCTTGGTCAAATGTTTCCCAAAATAGTATTATCTTTCTTTTATGAGATTACATTTATCATGATTTTTCACTTGTTTGAAGCCTTCGCATCTTCACATATAATTTTAAAATGGGCACTCAAGACAGAAAAACCAACAAACTTCAAATGGTATCTATACAGACGAAACTACTATTTACTCCTGCCTCAATAGCAAATCCAGTATCACTGACAAAATTAACCTAGCCATTGGTCTCAAAAAGGACCTCCAATTTGTTGTTGACTGTGACAAGAAATGGCTGGTTAACTTTCATGCTTCAAAAACAAAACTGCTCTCTTTTAACCACCACAGAGAACCCTCCCTGCCTCACATTAGAATGTCTGATGCTCAACTCCACAAGAGCACCTCTCTGTGCCTGCTTGGTCTCATGCTGTCCGCTGACCTGAGATAGAACAAATACATTGAATCAATAGCTTCATCTACTGCAAGGAAAGTTGGTTCTCTGTGTCACACCATTAAGTTTTTCTTGTCAAGTCCATCCTTCAAATCTATAAATCAACTATCCATTTGCCCTGGCGTGGAATACTGCCGTCATATATGGTATGGAACCCCTGCTGTTCATCTTAAAGTCCTCGACAAAATCCAGATACAGATATGCAATGTGATTGGCCCTGATCTGGCATCTCGTTTAGTCGCTCTCTCACAGACGTGCCGTCACTTCCCTCTGTCTTTTCTATAAATACTTTCACGGTAACTGCTCCGAAAAGCTACTTTCGTTAGTTCCCAAACTTCATGAATTTAAACATGCTACTAGGTTGGCATTTCAGTCTCACCCTTTCACTGTCAAAACAGTTAAATGTAGCCGTCTCTTCTATTCCAATAGCTTGTCTCACACTTCCGGTCTGTGGAACTCCCTTCCTCTTACTTGCTTCCCTGATAGCTATTTTTATGTATAGAAAATATTACAGAATGTGCCCATTTTTGAAAGTATGGTTGACCATACACAACATTATCAGAAATTAAGAGCAATGATTATAGTAAATTTAAACTCAACATTACTAAAATTAGATTATGGAGAATATTTTCCAACATTTTTAAGATTACTGAGTACTTAAAAATTATATTTAAAAAAAAAAAAAAAAAAAAAAAAAAGCACTTAGGTCATTTTCTTAAATTATATTTTACAGATAAATTTTCTATAGAACAACAATCATTATGTCAAGACCTGTGACGTCTTGTAAATTACATAAAACATGGTGGTTTCAGTTAAAAAAGCAGATACTGTTTTGTTTTAAAAATAAATTTCTGTGTTATTTTAAACTTAAAATAAATAATATTTTTTTCAAATCAGATTAATTATACTTTAAATCTGCTAATATAACTAATAAAGTTTCAGGAAAGTATATTTTATTTTTGAAAGATTTTTTAATACAGAGAATTACATTGTGATGAAAGAGGACTAAATAAGGACACTAATCAGCTATTTTAGCAAAAAAGATTTTAAAAAATTGATTCCAATCACTATAATTTCTGTAAAATACACCAGAATATTTTGTTTACAGAAAATAGTAAATTTAATCCTTTAGTTTTCAATTAAAGCTAAAATGAAAATTTCAAGAAAGCTTTTTTTTTCATTTATAAAAATTTGTTTTAAACTGTTGATACCAAGAATTAGTGGAGGTACCTACATCATTTGATCAAATTGTGAACATGCAAAAACTTAGGTTATTTACAGGGTTCCTACAGATTTGTGTAAGAAAAAAATTCCAGGACTTTTCCAGGAGTTCCCAAAGGAAGACGGGAAGTAGTTCCAGTGTTTCCACAAATCTATGTAAAAAAAAAAATTCCAGGACTTTTCCAGAAGTTCCCAAAGGGAGATGGGAAGAGGAGTCCCCAAAGGGAGACGGGAAGAGGAGTTCCAGTGTTTTCACAGATCTGCGTAAAAAAATTCCAGGAGTATATTAAGAAGTTTCAAGGGCTGAAACTGATGCATGTGCACACACACACACACACACACACACACACACACACGGATGTGAATCATCATCAATTTAAAAAAACACAAACTTTGTGATTTATTTTTTAATAGTTTAACAAATGAGATTTTCAAAGAAAAGCTACAGCTGGTTCCAATAATTCATGTCACATGGATCAGTTGAAAACAGTGAAAAAAATCCAAATGCTGAACACAACTCAATACACACCTGGTAATCTTACACATTTTGTATAGCATTCTATAGTTTGGAGTTCTACTTCACTTGAAGATTTTGAATTATACACTTTAATTCTTATTGCTACACATTTCAGCAATCAAGACTACTCATGGTTTGTGAATGTCACAAAAATTCTTGACTCCTGCACATTTCCTGGGAAGTTACATATAGTAGTTTTAATGAACAAAACTACAAATAGAAATTCACAGTAAAGTAATGGATAGTGGCTCAAACTGAGGAGTTTGAGAGCGGAGTTTGAATTCCAGTCAGATCCATTACAATCACTTACATGGTAATACTCTTGGGAAAGGTATGAATCCTCTTCTCCCCCCAGCTATGGGTAAATATCAGGACAGACCAGGTTCTATACCCTTGGATGGCAACTTGTCTACCACAGAAAGAAATAGCAACCTACTGCAAGAAAAAAAAAATCTGCTTCATCAGTCATGTATCAAAAGATACATAACTAACTGACTACTCATAGCACAGAACACAATGATGTTAACATTTTTCCAGTTCATCTAGTTTAGCATACAGCTCCTCTTCATATTTTGATATCTTTATGTATTTGTCCTTTGAATATCTTCATGTTATGTTTTTATTACTGTAAAATAACTTATTTTCCTTTCAACTACAAATTCAATGAACGTGAATGAATTTATCTTTGACAGAGATGTTTACTTGCCTCTGACACCTTTTATCTTTGCTTTTCCTCTTGTTGAGTGAGGGTAGCAACTTGGAGAAGACACGCCTCCATATTCTTTCTCTCTTTCTTTCTTGTCACTTAGATGAGAAAATACAGAAGTAACTACAAGGTCATGAACTTGTTCTAATCAAGGAAAAAACAACTGTTTGCAATAATTGACAAATATTACTGATGACTAATAATAAAAAAATAAAAAAAAAACATTTTTCTTAAAGGACAATTCTAGCTTGTAAAAAAGCCAGATTTCTGGGGTTTGGTTTGGTTTATATGGCATATCAACCTCAATGGGTTATTTAAAGCTGACAAATTTTTTTATTGCTGGTATTTTTTTTTTTCAAAACAAATGTATTTCTGGTAATATTTTTTTTCTTCAAAAAACTATAACTGGTAATATCTTTTTTTTTCCAAAAATGTATTGCTGGTAATAACTTTTTTTTTTTACAAAGTATTTCTGATATTAGAACCTATTTTTACACTTTCATAGTGTTTTGACCACAGCTTAGGGGTTATTTGCCCATAGCTGAGATCCTAACAGGTGCTACCACCCCAGGTCAGGGTGAACTGGGAACATCATCAATTAAGAGGCGGTTCCATACTCCTCAAAACCTCCTGATCAGAGGCCCTGCTGTTAGACGTAGTTTATCGTTTTACCCAGGACGGCTGGGATTATTTGGCATTTTGACTTTCATGACTTGAGAAAAGAATTGTGTGGGAAGACTAATTTAAAAAATTCCACGACTTTTTAATGAGTTTTGGGGGCGTTTTCCGGAATTTTTCAAGTGCTGGAGAAGGTTCTAACAATTTCCCAGGACTTTTCAAAGTTTGCAAGACGTGTACAAACCCGGTATTTAGTTTAAAAAAAATTTTCACTCGATTAATTTCAAAGTCTTTTTTACAATTTTCCTGTAGTGGAAACAAACCAGAAATTTTAAAAGAATTGTCCTGTTTTGTTTTACTTTAGTTTTTTAAATGTGATTACGTTGTCACTGTCCCAATATTTTCCCCATTTATTGATAGATAAATCATTTTTTTTTAAATTTCGGTGCAACGCATGTGTACAGAAATGTAATAAATAAATTGTTAATATTTTATTTATATAAATAAAATAAATTTCAATTTTAAAATAAAATTACTTATTTTTAAAAAGCAACTTTTTGTTCAAATAGAAAAATTCACTTTGTTTTGTTTCTGCTTTTAAATGCGAGAAAAATATCTGGGACATGTTTGTTGTCTTAAGGAGCAAAAATGCAAAAGCAAACATGTTCTTTTTTTAATTAATTCCAGCGTTAATTTTACATTGGAATAAATTTGCTGCTTTACGAGGCGCACACGAATTTCTGACTATGCCAAAAATTCTTGGAACCATTATTAATTTGTCTGTAAATGAAAGCACCATTATCGATGGCATTTCCAAATTTCAGACAAGACCACTTTTCAAGTACCTACTATTCGGATTTTAGCGATTTGGAATTAAATATCGCGTTACTAAACATACCATAGTAAACCAATTCACTAGTTTAGCGATTTCCATCTTCACTCGGTCTTCTATCAAATTAAGCTTTTGTATAACTCATAAAATTATTAAGCCTAAAATAAAAATGAGACAAAAAAACAAGTATTGCCGATAAGAAAAATATGCTTTTTGTATATTTAAAAAAAAATAAAATCAATTTATATTAGAAAGTACATCAGTTTATAAGGTTTGATATTGAATTTTTATTTAGGAAACTTTAAAATTTACCAACACTCAAAAATAGAACTTTAAGTTAAAAATCAAATGAAACAAAAAGCTGAAAACTTTCAATTTCCACGTTATTATTAAAAAAAAACTTTTTTTAACACTAGTTTACGATGAAAATAGAAAATTAATAATCATATAGTCAAGTGACAATAATGATCAGTATTTTTTTTTTTTTTTAAATACTAATAAATTCTCACCTTAAATTGGAGGGCGAGGTTCTTTGATCAAAACTTGTAAAACGTCGACTCAGATGAAAATAGAAATAATATTTGGCGCGCAAAATTACCCAGCATGCCCCAGTGTTTGTCGAAAATGCGGATTAGCCTCCCCCCCCCCCCAACAACCGATCTGTTTTTGGTTTTTTTTTTATTCTTAAACTTCTTTGCTGAATAATTCACAAGACCAAATGAGATGGAGTGTTGTCCTATCTTATCTAATGGTTTCGTTTACTTGTCTTAAAAATCAGCATTGAAAAAAAGCTAACTTTTGACTTGGCCTCGAAAATCGACTTCGGGCACGGTAGCACCGATTGTGGGAAACACGAATTATGGAACTTTTTTTTTTCCTGAGATAGTAGTTAAAAACAAAAAAAAAAAAAAATTGTGTAGGTAGCAGAGTGTCAAAATAGGAGGCTTTCTCTTTCGTTCTTGTCGAACTCTCTGCCTCCGGACGGAGAGGATGAGGCTATCTATGCCGAAGGGCAGTCTTGTTTGGGGAGGTAGACAAACCCGACCCCGTTTATATGGGGCCTTCAGGCTCAGAGCCCCCCCGCACGTTAAAAACTGACCTTGTGCCACATCTTGCCTTGTAGGGAGGGGGTCAAAATGGGACATACACTATCTTCCAACTGGGAAGAGGCCGCTGTCGGCTTGACTTGAAAATAAGCATTCTGACTTGTACTTACTTCGGTTAGAAAGCAACTGCCTCATCCATGAGGAGACAAACTACCTGTCTTTTCAAAGCAATATTTGTCTATAAGGGATTTTCTCTTTTAGCAGAAATTGAGTTACTTTGTTTTTGTTATTTTTTTGGTTTGTTTTTTAGTTACTTTATTTCTCATTTCGAACTTTGTTTTGAAATAGAATTATTTTCCGTTCCGATAATTTCACCACCCGATCAATAATAGTCATTCACTATTCAGAGATGGATTTTTTTTTAAATTAATTACTAAGGCATAATTAAGCGTAGTCGTCGTTCTAATTGCTACCATAACACATGCTTCCATCTTAAAAGAGGTGGGATTTTCTCATCACCATTCCCCCAAAAAACAAATAAAAAAATAACAGGTTAAAAAAAATGTCAGAGTATGGATTGGTAGATATGACTAGCTATGGATAGATAGATAGATAGCTATAGAATTAAATATGAATAGACTGTAATATAAATGAATAGGCAAAGTGCCAAAGATAGACTGATAGATAGAATTCTTAATTCACCAGGACAAGGTTCAAGAGCTACTTATGATATTGTGTTACTGTTAATTTTTTTTTTTTTTACAAATTTTCACCCAATAGAATACTCAAGAGCCACTCAAAGTAGAGGGTTACTGAATGTACTATACGAATGTAAGTGTGAGGATATGTAGAATAGATAATGATTGATCCTTGACTTGAAGATTGTAGTATTCTGGAAAGCTGTTACATGGGAGTCTATCCCACAATGTCACTGTTCTTAGGAAAAAGCTAAGTGAAATTTACCCCTTACAAGTAGAATAGAGAGGGAATGAGGATTGTTCGACCCCATGGATGTGTAGTGAAGGTAAAATAATAACGCCTTTCACCCACTCCCTTCCTGACAAATCAACCCTGCTGAGATTCAAACCTGGGTCTAATGGTTGGAAAGTGAATGTTGAAAAAAAAAAATTATATATATATATATATATATATATATATATATAATATATACAGGGTGACTAAAAAGTAACTCCCCATTTGAAACAGCTTATAATTTATTTATTAACTATAATTTTTACAAGAAATGGATATGAGAGGAAAGTGTTTAGCATGAGGTTTTATTTAAAATTTGATATGGGCACCAGATTTTGCTACCAGCTTCTTGAGCCACCCAGGAATTGCATTAAAGGATTTTTCCAGGGACTCTTGTGGTATGGAAGATATAGCTTCTTGTATTCACCCTTCAAATTCTTCCAAAGTCTTGCTTTGGTGTGGATTTGCTCCTTTAACCAACCCCAAAGAAAAAAGTCACAGGGTATTAAGTCAGGATTCCTGGCTGGCCACTCATACATAAAATAGGGAGTTACTTTTCAATCACAATCAAAATTCCTTTATAATATTTATGTTACTTAGAGAGGAGGTAACCAACAACAAATTATATTTCCCCTCTCAGCATGGGAGCATGATGATCATCAATCTAAATTAGCTATTTTTTTATACTAATGTTCACCCAATACAAGTTCCAAGAGACACTCAAGGTAGAGTGTTACTGTGTGGTGTTGTCTTGTGGCCGTAAGAAAAAGGCAAGAAGTGGAGTTCATGGGACCATGCAAGAAAGATAATGGTTAACCTTAGTGTTGAAGAGATCAAGATTGTATTGACTGAGAAAACATCCTATGAGTCTGTTCCACAAAGCAGCAGTTCTTGGGAAGCTGTCCAAATTAAAATTACTTCTTACTAATGAAATACAAAGGGAAGGGAGATGATTCACACTTGCATACATGGCATGGCAGGTGCCAGCTGTAAAAGTGAGAGGTGATGGGACTAAGGAATGTAGTATGTCAGAACACATGCTGTGGAAAATAGCGATAGAGCAGCAAGAGGCTTGCAACGTTATGTTTGTGGGAAAGAGGTTGCAGGGAGGAAAATAATTAATCACCCACACGGCTGTGTAGAGGCTTTTGAACTCTTTCAAGACAGGCAAATGAGGACTGGGCAGTTCCAGCCTAGATATAGTAGCAATACTCCATTTTTGGTCTGATCTAGCTCTTCTAAAGATAGAGTATAGCATGGGGAGTCATACGCTTACTGGAGCAGTACAATGAATCAACAATTTTTACAGTTTCTTTAGCAATAGATTGTATATATGAGTTCCATTTGAGGTCTGGGGAGAGATTGAGTCTCAATAGCTTAGTTTGTTTTATGGTATATCAACCAATTCTGTCATTTAATGTCAAAGAGCCCCAATAGATGAGCAAAGCAAAGAAGTCTCTTTGAGAGAACACCTATCCATCATGATAGGTGAAAGTTCAGGTTCTGCTTGGTGGTGTGGAACATTACTAGTTTGATACATAATCATTGATCTGAGTCAAAGTTACCCAATTCTGAATGTCTGGCCTTGATAGAATTCAAAGTCATTTATGTGACCTTGTAGGGAAAGACACACTTTCCACTCTGCAGCTCCTTTCCTACACACTGCATCACAAACCTGCTGCAATTCTACTGCTATTCCCATGACAAAAGTTCAAAAAATTTCTATTCTTTAATTCCACCAATTCCCTACCAATGCTGTATCTATAGTGGTGTAGGGCTTAGGGGTTAAAATGAACAGTTGATTTACCAACGCCAAGAAGATTAATGAAGAATGATAATGATAAAGAAACACATGGGTAATTTTAACAAAACAAGATAAGGAATTTATTCACAAATTTACATGCTTGAATATGTCAGAGTTAACTCCTCCTTAATTTCCTAATTGTTCACAAGGGGACGCTCTCCCTACACTATAAATACTGGGTGCTTTTTTGCCTCGTTCTCTTTTTACTTCATTTTCAGTGAACACATCTACAATGTAAGCTCTTGCAGAAGATTGCATCTTCCCATTTGTGGGAGAGGCCATAAACATTATAAACACATACATGTACATACGAACATTCATCAAAATACAAACTTTTTACGTTCACACACAAACACAAATGTTAATGTCTATGTCCATTGTAAATTTTGTTGTTTAATAAATATACTTGTAGCATATACATATTGGTCTTGTTGGTTTTCTTTACACTTCTTTATGGTAGATTCAATATCTAAGTCCTCCGTGTTCTTGTAGTTGGACCTTCTTCTAGAAGGAATAAACACACATGTTCCTAATTTAACAACATGTAAACCCACGGTCTGCTATAAAGGCAACTTCTTGATGTTATTGGCCTAGGAGGTCGATCCCATCATGCGGCACCTTTAGAAAGTGCCTGAAAACCACAACCATGGGTTGACCCAAGCTTTGTAAGGGAAATTAGGTAGAAAGAACTATTTGAGAGCCGTTGATGGCTGAGCTAGCACAAATTCGCAAGTCACCATGACCAAGAGATTGAGTGTACTGTTCTTGTTCAAACTGTTGATTACACCAGATAATGCACTCTCTCCCAGAAACAGTAACTAAGGTCTGCTCAGTATAGTTGCAGTATAAACCACAGATGGGCTCTGTGGTTGTTGAACAAACACAAATCTGCCTGAGTGGGTGTCTGTAATAGGGATTGGTTAGATGCCCTAACAGATAGGAATACTCAGATACAAGCAGCCATTATTATTATTATATATCACTATCTCAGAGGCTATCCATTGATAGGATGGAATTGATTAAGACGAGATACCCAATCACACACCTGACTTGGCATTTACCTGATTATGATAAAGACATCTGACAAATATCTATAATTAATCAACCTTAAATGAACACTTCAGTTTGCATATTGTTATTCAATACAAAAATTAATAAAGAAAAACTTATTTTAATATCAGCAAGCATGTTATTATTTGATTTTAAAAATTTAATTGAACATAGAAATATTTTAAAGGAGGATCTGATGACATCTGAATAAAACTTTTACACGGATAAGAAAATATTTGTTTATTGTTTAAAATTAATTATTCTAGATTTTGAATAATTGTCGTAAGGTTTTAATTAGAATTTCTGAAATAGATTTTTTTTTATTCGCATTCAAAGAAAAATCGAAAATCCGATAAAAAAAAAAAAAAAAAAGAAGGAATTCATAAATGTGAATGTGCAACAAGAGTTATCGGCCTTGACCGAAGTTGAGAACATACGTAGAAAGCGCATTGGTCACTCCTTCCAGAAAAGTTTAAAAGATGTCCTCCCTTTCAGCTATCTACAGCAAAATTATGCCCCGATTACGAATTTTGGCCACTTCTATCCTTTTTCAATCTCCAAACAGCTCTGTAAATCGCTTGGGTATCAAATGTGTTAGCAGTGAACGATATTTCACAACAAAAACAAGGTCGATCTTCACACATAATGCCGGCTCTGCTGCAACTACTTCCATTATTGCATCAAGGCTTCTGCCTTCTTCATTATTTCCCAAGGTGAATTTGTCGTCTTGTGTCTTTTCTGTTGTTCCCAGCTCTGCCAATTTTTCATCCTGCACCTCTTCCTCAGCCCTGTGCACCATATTGCAATCCTGGACAAATGGTGGTGCTACAAATATACGATTACATCCGAGACCTCTTCTACCCAGATTTGTCAATGTCACCCCTTTTTGCAGATCTTTACACACAGAGGGTAAGTTTCTCTTGGTTAATGTTTTTAAGTCCTAGTAAATACGCTTATGATCGTGTTCGTCTACCGTCTACTATTTTCATTAAAATTTTCACTTTTTTTTTTTTTTTTTTTTTTAGCTTTATTTTAATGTGGATTTGTGTTTTATGTAACTTAATACAAAAAACCCCAACAAATACGGAAACTTTGGATTTAATTTAATTAAAATTACCATTTAAGTTTAAAAAAAAAAATAAATTCAAAAGTTCTAATTAGAAGATAAAATTGAAAGCTGTATTTGTTTTTTATAAGTTGGAAAAAAAAAAAAGTCAATTTTTAATGAACCGAACCCCCTTCCCCCTCCAACCACGTGGTTTTCTTCTTGCTTTTCATTGCATTTTTTTTTTATTTCGTGTTTCTTTTCATAAAGACAAAATACTTCTATTTTAATAATAAAGAATTAGAAAAAGGTGGTTGTATTTGCTATATCTCTTTGCCTTGCAATATAATTTTATTTAGAGACTCTTTGACAGAATTGTGCAGGCCAAAAATATTTTAAAAAATAGTTTCTATCACGAACCTTTGCGGCAAGGTTATTGAATTCTCTACCCCCGCCTTTTTGTTTTTACTTTTTTATTCATTTATCATTATTTTATGATGTTGTTAGACCCTCTTTTGCCGCAAAGATGAATAAAGAAAATCTCGTTTCATAAACCGCCATTTTTCTTGTGATTGGCACCAAGCATGAAGGACGAGGGATTTCTTGGAGCAAAAAAAAAAAAATAGGCATATTAAAAACTAAAAAGCAACTGATAAAGGATAAAAGGTTAACTAACAAAAAATATTTTACCGCAAAATAGCGATTAAAAAAAACGTCTCAACCGTTCTTATTAGTCCTTCTCGAAGTAAAAAACGAGGACAAAAAAAAACATGTGTCCACAATAATGAGTTAAAAAAGATTATTTTAAAGTGGAGATTTAATTAAAAAAAAACCGTAACGACCCAAACTATTGATTAGCTTCTCTTTTTTTTTACTTTTTTTTTTTCCTTTGTTATTATTATTAAAATTACATAAACGTTTAATTGGATAATTTTAAACGTAATTTTTTATCATATTTGTCACGTGGAGAAATTTATAGTCGAATCTTTTTAAAAAAATGAAACCCAAAACAAGTAAAAAAAAAAAAAAATTTTTTTTTTTTTTTTTTAATTCCGTTTGGTATTTTATAAGAATTGTTTAAACGTAAATTCAGTTGTATTTTATTTGTTATCGATTTTCTTTTGTTTGTTTTTTGTCTTTCTTTTATTTTTGGAAATAAAGTTTTGTCCCGACTGCGTATTTTTTTTTTTTTTTTTTTTTTTTTTTTTTAAATGACATATAAATGAAACACGTGTTGGGTAGTTTCGTATAAACTTGAAAAATTTATAATTTTAAAAATATAAATCGGAATTATACCCACCCACTTCTTGTCCTTTGTTTAATTAAGTTATTTATGTTTTCTCAAATTGTTTTGTTTCTATTTGCTGTTATATCAGTTTTTTTCTATTAAGTTCTCCGAAAGAATCTCTAAAAAACAAACCTGACCTCGATTTCCATGACCTTCTTTCCCCCGCCCTTTTTATTTGGGGCTGAAGGTTACAAACTTTCTAAAAAGGAGTCTTAGCAAAAAGTACATTATTTTTGTCTTAAATATCTGCATTTTCAATGTTACTCAGGCACTTATTAATTTATTTTTCTATGAAACTAACAGAAGCAAGAATGAGTCTTGGGAATAATAAAACCTTTTTTTTTTTTTTTTTTTCAATCAGTTATTGAAAAGGGGCCACATTTAAAGTTTTCCTATAAACTCTTGTATGACTTATAGAGATTTATAAGAAAATTTGATTGAAGTACTCTTTTGTTTAAGAGTCTATTACTATTTTCTTAACTTGTTTTAAATTTAGCAGAAAATTTCATTCACCTTGGCTGGTTTTTCATCCTGAATAAAAACTTTTTTTTTTCTTTATTATGCAACTATTGTGAAAATTTACATTTTGGAAGAGGTTAGCAATATTTCTTCTGTCTGCCAATGCTCAGCAAAATAGTCTTCTCGCATGTTCTTAACTGGTTGTCCCATCATTGAAGTCTTGTACCAGACTAAATTTTAAATAAGCTTAGTTATTCATTTCAAGTTTGCATTATTGTCATATAGGAATAAAGTGTTGCTGGCGACACTTGGGTTTGAACATGGGTCACCAGAGCAAGCACAGTCAGTCTCGTATTGAAATAATTAGATCACGTGACAGGTAAAGAAATATATATATATATATATATATATATATATAGGAACTAGCAGCATCTGACTGAGTTTTGTTCAAAGGTATTACTATTATTGTATCTGTGATTTACAAAGTCTCTCCTGCAAACGGGCATTAAAAAAATAAATTCATAAGTAGACATTAGCTTCCAAATGGCTTCTTCCTTCAAACTATCCAATCTCTGTCTCTTCAGTTCAAAGCTGTAAATTGAAAAAAAATCTTTGGCTTTTCACAGAATCTCTTTCCATGTTTGAACACATGCATTGCAGATAAGTTAGGATTGGTGGGGAGGGGAACTTGTTTCAGGTGGAGAGAATGTCAAGCCTTTTATTCCAAATATTGAATAAGGTGCACACAAAGATGAGCAAGATTCGAAACTCCAATGTGGAATTTGAAAGAAACAAATATTTATTCTGATGCCAGAATAAAACAGAATACAAGGTTTGCAAATAAGTCTTCACCAAATTTTCCTTTTTCTTTTTTTTCTTTTCTTTTTTTGGTACCTTATTATTAAAGGCAAGATAACCAGTTTTAAAATTTACATGTCTCAAACATTTTTCAATAAAACTTACATCAAAAACCTTGAAGATAAAAATACAATTCCTTAAAAAAAAAAAGTTCAAAATACACTTTCTAAAAAGATACGCTTAGTTGAAGGTTGAAACTGAGAAGGCTTTGGGAGTCACTGGTTTTCTTTTCTTTTGAACACAGTTTATTAATTTAAGTTACTTTTCATTTCACTTAGTTTCTGTCTCTGCTTCTTGCACAAAACTGCCTCATTTATCCACTGGCAACAGGCCAAATCCCTTATCCTTGTGTCCTTCTCAATAATTGTATCCTTCTGGATTTTTATACTGTCTGCTTTCTTGTAACCTTCGGTGTTTTCCATCCAACTTCTTGCATAGTCCCCAATTAAGCTCAAGGCAAGCCCCAAATTTTAAACTTGCTTGGGAAGAAGTCAAAAAGAATGTATATTTCCTTTAACCCTCAACTGATCAGTTATGTGCCATGCATGATACATGCTTAGGTGATCATGTATCGTTCAATACATGACTGACAAGGCAGATTTCTTTTTTTTCTTTTCTTTTTTTGTCTCGCAGTAGGTTGCCATTTCTTTCTGCGGTAGACCAGTTGCCATCCAAGGCTATAGTACCCAGTCTGTCCTATTTACCCATAGCTGGGGGGAGAAGAGGAGGAGGAGGGTTCATACCCTTTCCCAAGGATATTACCACTTAAATGTATTTAATGGATTCGACTGGAATTAAAACTCTGCTCTCAGATTCCTCAATCTCAGCCGTTATCCACTACTCCTGTGTGTGTATGTATGTATGTAATTGGCCTGACCCAGTAATTAGGCATCTCTTGTATATGTAAATTGTCTGTCTATATTTCTAAGATGAGGTATTATGTACATTATTTACATCATTCGGACTATTGTCCTCATCTTTCAACATTCAACCACCTGAAGAAGGCCGGAGCATACAACGGCTGAAACATTGTGATAAATATGGCGACGAAGATGAGGACAATAGTCCGAATAATGTAAATTGTCATTGATTGTTAGAAACATTAAGCCTCTTATCTAAATTAAGAGGTACCAGACAATCATTTTCTTAAAAATTGGTACACATATATTAACAGAGCAGTCAGTGATCATGAAACTTAAACTTTTTTTGTTTACAATGAATTGCAGTCCATTTCAGCAAAAAAAAAACCCCAAAAAACTCCTGTATTTCTAACCAAGTATTTATTCTGTCTGTTCACAATATAATACTCCAACTTTTTTATTTTTTCGTTTTGTGTGCACTGTCCCTTCAGAGCGAAGGTGATTATGGCTCTCCACAGATCTTTATCGCTAAATTAGCATAACTTCTTGAGAAAGTGGAGTAATTTCTCATTGCCTTCTCTGTAGTTTTCCTTCTCTTATGATGGTTGTCACTCAAAGCTACAAACCCCCAGTTAATCTTGCTTGTAATGTTGACTTTGTTCAAAATAGCTGAAAATTAGGAAGGCTGTAGTTAAAGTATCAAAGGAACAGAAGACGAGGTAGGCAAAACAAAGAGGTTATTACTTGTATATAGAATGGGAAAATTTGAATAAATAAAATCCTACTCTGTGGCTACTTGCCATATTTATAGGTAGGAACAGACCCTTGTCACAGTAATAGGGAAAAGCAGGAAGTATGCTGAGTCCTACTCTACAACACTCTGCTATTTAACCCATAACTGGAGGAGGGGCAATGGTCTTTCCCAAACAAATTTGTGTAAAAGTGCTTACCTCTGGTGGCTGAAATAAACAATTCTTGAAAAATATATTTAGCAGTATAATTCTATGCTCTTTTCATATCTAAAATGAGGCATTTCAGAAAGTAAAAAATATTTATTCAAGAATTTCTACAAATGAATATGACATTAAATATAAAACCAGAAAAACTCTCATTGAACTGTGGTAGCCAGTGGAATTTTAAGTCACCACATTCCATTTCTTTTAAAATATCTCCATGCTTTTAACAGTAAAAAGCTCTCGCTGTTTAAAAGTATTGTGTTAGAACTGTGGTGGCAATTAAAATGATCTTAAAGTATTTGTATCAAGTATAAATAATGAAAATTTAGTATTTCCAGTTTAGTGGGTATTGTTTACTGGTGTATGTTTATCAAAGGATTGCAGAAATTGCTAAACAAATGCCCTTTTTCTTTTTCTTCTTTTTAATTTGAAAAGTCTTAATATTTTCCAAAACCATAAACTAAAAGCGCATAATGTATATGGGAAGCTAAAGCTCTAAAAATGATAAAAGTAACAATTGAAATAAAACTTTTGAATAACATCAAAAAAAATTTTTTTTTTTTTTTTTTTTTTTTTTTATCATATTTAACTCTACCTAAACTTAAAAAGTTATATATTACTAAAAATAAGTCCCTTTTTATAAAGGTGTAATTTAGGACTAACACTCTCACCTACAGTAACAAGCTATATAGTTGCGAGGCTTTTCACTTGAGATAACCTTCATATTATTAAAAAAAAAAAAAAAATAGTCAAATCATAAAAGCTATTATTGAAAATAGATTTTCTTTGTGGAACTTTGCCAACTATGTTCTAAACTTCTTGAATTCATCCAGGGAAATTTCACAGCTTCATTTCTTCTCTTTCTCCAGTGGATGCTGAGTTATCAAGATTCTTAGAAAAAGAAATAAAACTTGGACAAAACACAAAGAAATATCCAACAAAGCTGCCTGTCATCCAAGGCTTTGACATTGTTACTGACAATGCTAAAGTGACACTGACAAAGAATTTGGGAAATGAAACGTAAGTAAAATGTGTCATTGTGTTGGGCTCTTGCACAAAATGTCTTTTTTTTTTTTTTTAATTACTTCGTTGAAACAGACATATAGTGACTCTTGAAACAGTTAATATTTGATCAAATTCATTTGGGACATGTGTACAGCCAAACCCGGGGCATTATTCTTTGGGTAGGGGGCATATTAAACAAGCACATTTCATATAGTATGCCCATCCACATTCACATACAGTAATTTTTTTTTTTTTTTTTTTTTTTTTTTTCTTTTCATCAAACCTGAAATGATCTTCCACAAATTTCTAGCAAAAATAAATTAAAGATGGCAGTGTGCTATAAACTTGTCTTTAAATCTGATATTATTTATTTTTTTATAATGCATATTTTTTGTAAATGCTGTTTCTTGGCTCTTTTGCAATATAACCATTGTCTTTATGAATAAGACCTTCCTAGGTCACCCACCCCAGTATTGTTCAATGTTGGGAAGGGCTCAAACAGAATCTGGCACTCACTCAAGTTTAAAATGAGTCCCGCATGTACATGGAACTAGGGACAAAACTGCTCAGTTTCATCCATCCAACCAACTAAATAAATAAATAGTAACATCTCAACCCCCTCTTCCTTTTAATAAAATGAGGGATGTGCTACCTAGTGTGAACAGACACTCAGAGCTGTGCATATTATATACTGGCTTCTACATCAGAAACCAGAATTTCAAGAGAAGGTACTGTATACTGAAAGTTTTTATGATCAGGTTTTACACAAAAAATAGGGTGTTGCACTATACATGGATTTTTTTGTTTTGTTTTTTTTCCCTCCTTAGAGGAGTAAAAATTCAAGGGGTTGCACTATACATGAAGTCAACTTATGTGCTAGTAGATACTGTATTTATCTCTGTATCCATTTCAACAGCATGGGTCACAAGGCTGGATTCTCAGTGCTATATGTACTTAGGACAAGGGGGCGGGAATTTGCCTGGCTTCTTTGGCACTTCCTCGGCACTTCCTCATGTAGAGATGCCTCGGGCACTAGGTATTAAGCCTATCCCACTAGGTATAAAAGCAAGGCCTCTGATCATGAGATTGTATTGTGGAGTGAAACCACCTCATAATTGCTGTTGTTCCCTGCTTCACCCTGACCCTAAGTGTTAGGTTAATGACATCTCCCCTGCCCAAGCATGTGAAACCAGGACAACTCCAAGAGAGTATTTATTTTTGAGATATCATACACACACACACACACACACACACACACACAGAAAATGTGGCACATGGCCTGGGATGAGAAGGGCTGACCTTCACTTGTCCTATCTTTAACCTAACTAATCCCAATCACAAACCATTTAAAACAAATGTTGCTCCTTTCACCTAAAACCTTACATTTTAACTTTCTAATCATACTGCACACAATGTAATACTGTATTTACCCTATGAATTCCTAGCTAATCCCATATTTACATTGGGTGGGAGAGATAAAGGCAATAAAAACATATTTTCTCTAATAATTAAAAAAAAAAAAAAAAGCATTTACAAACAACTCTGAGAATCCAGTGTAGAAATTTAGTTCATTTATTTACCTGCCCCTTTGAACAGGAGGATTAAACCATTTCTAAAGAAATTGGGTTGGAAACTTTCAGAATATAACTATTAAGAAAAAGTTTATATTAAGAGTCTTTTAGTTTGCTTTGAGTGTTTATGTAATGGAAGTTGTGGAGCAGTAATATCACACACACACACACACACACACACACACGCTTTCATACAAGTAAAAATGTTTCTCTTGTCCTGACTTATTTGGTCATCTTATTAAATAATAAAAAAAATGTTTTGTTTTCCAGAATTACTGTCAACTTGAACATTAATCATTCTGTTGATGCTGATGAAAATGAGATGTTAACTGATCAGAAAGACGATGATGTCACACAGGTGAGAAGACAAAATGTATTTGTTCAAATGTTTTAATTGGTCACCTACTGTAATTATCGGTCTCATCTCTCACCAATTAGAAGCTCCATTATTGTGGCTGTGTGCAAGTTTAAACTCTGTAGATAAATTTTATTTCAGATCTGTAAAAGTGCTGGCAAAATCTGTTTATGCCAAAAACAAGATTTTAGATGTATTATTTATTTATTTTTTTTTTTTTTTTTTTTTTTTTTTTTTTTCCCCAAGTAATCCATTTTGCAAACATACACTGGCTGGCCCCCTTCAAAGCTCTCACTGACTGTACAAATAATTCCACATTGTATGTTGTTTCAATTTCACTTCACACCAGGGTGCACCAAAAAAAAACTGAAGGCCTGATGTGGGTTCAGAAGGAAATGCAAGATGAAATTAATGCCACTATGATAAATGAAAAACATGAATCTGTTTTCAGTATATTTGTTTGTTTAGGGATTTACTTGTCTCGACATTTCTTTCTTAAGTTCTCTCTCTCTCTCTCATTATTCTAACTAAAGCTCTGTTTATATAAGCCTACAACTAGAACTCCCTAACTTCCAGCCAAGCAACATTTGACCCTGAAAGTTTTTATTTTATCTTTCATTTCAGTCAGCAGGTGACTGCTGTGTTGAGCCCAGATAAAATCATTTAGTCTACTATTCACAGCTAGATCCCATTGTGTCACAACCCCACCCAACATAAAAGATTAGTGTAACCTGATGCTATTCTTTCTCCCGAGATTTGACTTTCTAGTTCCACATGCCATGCCTTTTCTGGATATCTCGGTTTCAGTTATTTCCCTTCTGTAACTCGACTCTACTTGTCTTTGTTCACCTCTGCTGTGACCAGGTATTGAACTCTAACACTTTGTGCTAAGTTTTTTTTAATTTATTTCTTTAAATTCAAGGTAATTGTTTTAACTTCCAGCTTTGTCAAAAATCTACCCTTTCTTGCACCTTGTGTCACACACAGTTCTTGCAATCAAGAATATTATTTGATGCTGAGCCTGACCATTATGTAGCACATGATATGCCAAGAAAATGACCAATAAATCTTTATTGTATTTACTTATTAGATTAAAATCTTTATACATTTTTTTTTAATTTTTAGATGGTTTCTCGCCCTCCCTTCACTGTTGAAATTAACCAGGGTGAGAAAGAAATATTTGCCCTTCAGTGTTCTTTCCCATCAGCTGAGTTTGATGATGACCCTTCAAGCAAAGATGAAGAAAACATGGGTAAGTTGAAACGTTGCTTTGCTAAATTGAATCTAAATCTGGAGTAGGTATGAGTTGTTTTGTTTGTTTGTGTGGTTTTTTTTTTTTTTTTTTTTTAACCTTATGTGTGCATTCCATTTTAATAGAACTGTCTTATTTCTCTGTCTTAACCAAAAGACTTTAAAACTAACTCCTGTAGAAGGAGAACTGAACAAAGAAAAGAAAGATTAACCTTTTAGCACTCTGCATTATTACTTCTCTTTCCACTGCATTCCCTTTCAGGGCCTCTCAGTTGCAGTATCCTTATTGTTTATTTCACTCAAAGGGGTTTCCTAGCAGTATATTACAGCACAATTATGAAATACAAACCCTATTGTTCAGGGATTAGTCACCTTTAGCGGCAGGATCAACTTTTTGCACAGCAAATGAAGTCACAGTGATACAGATTAAGGAAGTATGGCAATTTCGGTGCTGCTTAGCACTAAGAATCTAGACAACAGGATTCTTCAGCAATAATAATAATTCAGTATTTCTCTTGAGATCAAAGCTGTCTTCTGAAAATACTTGATTTTTTGATTAAAAAAGAAAAAAAAAAATCTGGTGTATAGTCACCAATCCTTAATTGCCAACTTTTTTTCTTTTATATATATCCTGCTCCCACCCTTACACCGTAGAAACCTTCAAATGTAGCCATCTCTTCTACTCCAATAGCTTCATACCTCGCACCTCTCACCAGTGGAACACCCTCCTCAATTACTGTTTCCCTGAAAGCTATAATCTCCAACTATTCAAATGTAATGTCAATCGACATCTCCAATTACCTTGATCTACCCACTATCCTTCTCCTCTTCCTTTCTCCTATCACTCTTATCTGCTCTCACTCCAAATCTTCTGCAACCCCCTGCATCCTAGTGGCTTCATGCCTTGCTTGGGGCACAATGCTTAAAATATTTTTTTTTTTTTTTTTTTTTTTTTTCATGGCTTTCCTTTCACAAAATCTAAATCTAGTCTTGCTACATAAATGATCACAGCATGTTAAAATTTTTTTATATTGTTCCACTGTTTTTTTTTTTTTTTTTTTTTTCTCTTACCAATTCAGTTTCAATAAAAAAAAAAAAAAAAAAATCTATTTGTAAACTGCTAAATGTGTCTTATGAATTTAAGTGTCAAATTTGTGGGTCATCTCAGATTCTACTCAATGAGTCAAATGCACCAACGATGCTGACAGTACAAATGTTACTATCATTGGACAACACTGAACAATTATTACTAAAGATTGTAAACAGTAACACTGTATTAGTCAGGCTCTTTAATTAAAATGAATTTTTAATGCCATCCCATTATTTTGAACATGGACATGTCATTGCTTTTTTTTTTTTTTTTTTTTCCTCCTCTCCAGTTGATTTATTCCAAATTGATGAAGTAACCATTCATGAAGGGGACTGGAATGAAAAAATGTACAGCCTTGGGGCTGAAACCATGGATGGGGTAAGTGTGTGGTGTTTGTTTTTGTTTGTTTGTTTGTTTTTTTTTTTTTTTTTTTTTTTTTTTGTGGTGGGGGGGGATATATCGGATATATAAGCCTTTACAGAGAAATTGGATTAAATTTTGTATTCTTACTTTCTCTCTCCTGTTATTCTGTTTTTTTTTTTTGGGGGGGTTAAATGTACTTTTAAAATTTTTAAAATCTGCAGGGGGGGGTCATGAATCTTCTGTTTGTTATTACAAATTAATGATTGCTGGAATTAAAATTACTCCTTGCACACCTTTTGATTTTTCGTGTGTAGTGGCAGCTGAAAGAAAAAAATCCAGAACCTCAAAATAATCGGCCACAAGAAAGCATGTGAATCTCAAAAGGAAAATATTTTGAAAGTTGCTGGTCAATCAAATTATCTCCCTTTGATTTTTTTCGCTTACTTTAAATGTAACAAATTACGTAATATTTTTTTTCTCTTCACAATTAACCGCATTACTTAGAACAATTACTTTTCTAGTTATGTAAAAAGTTTTAGTTGACAATAATATAAGTGACCCCATGCCTATATAAAGATACTGTTGATTATTTACAACTATTTGTTTAAATAGTTTACTGATGAATGTTTATATCACATGTCTTGCACTGCTATCGGGCTCTCTTGAGACTGAAGGCAGCCACATGTATAAAATTGCATCATGCAGTAATAATTGTAGGTAAAATGATGCCCTAAAATAAGTAACCAAGTAATCTATACAAGTTCTGAATATTGGTGCCCTTAAAAAATAAATAGGCAATTGAGACCTTTATTTAATCAACTCCTAGATTTGACTGAATTCTATGCTTTTGAAAAAGAAACATTTAATTCAAATTCTGACCAGTCAGCAAAATGTATGGAGCAACACTGTCATACAATAAAACAAAATTTAACCTACATGACCTATAACTTCAATAAATATTATTAGGCACACTAGTACTAAGCATTAAAAAGTAATTTCATTGAAGAATAATGAGAATACTAACCAATACTCTATCATGACTTCGTGAATAAATGAGATCATGTTGGCTGATCTCAAAAGTGAATCTCGAAACTTGCTGCTGACTTCCTCTTGGAAGTGCATAGTTTCATGTAATTTTAAAAAGAAAATTGATTGAATTCTTTAAAATGTTATTTGTTTGGGATACAGTATTTGAGGAGTAGGATAATTTTTTTTTTTTTTTTTTTTTTTTGACAGAAAATCATGTAAATCAATTTTGCTCATGTTTCTTTTGGTCTCATTGGAAAGCCATTTCTTCATATATTCAGAAGAGCTAAAAATATGTCAGAAAGTGAGAAAAAACATGATACAAACGTTTTTTCCCAACAACCCACAATGCCTGAGTCGGCATGCTATGGGCATTGGTTGCATTGCAATACCTGAGATTTTGGGTTTTAGACCATTTTACGGTTAAATAAAAGACACATTGTGAAAGAAATTGTAGAACTTTGCAATTTTTTTTTATTCAAATTTGTGGGTTGTAGATTAAGTTTGAAGCAAAAGAAAGAGCAAGAAAACTGCATGTTTCACAAATGTGCGTTGTTACCATGCCGATGACTGCTGCTACCCAATTCAAATGTTGAGGCTCTTAAAAATAAAATAAAAAAACTAATATTTTTCTTGATTAGCTGAAGCCATTAATGTAAGACAACTCATATCTTGCAGAGCTAGTTCTTTTAAATGGTATTTTCAATAGTCCTTTCTGAAAATCTCATTCTATTTTATACATACAGCTGCTAATAGACTCAGCTATATAAATATCAAATATTTTACAAGTATTTTTCTCTTGTCAATTTGGAAGAGTAACTTAAATTCACATCACTGCAAAATGACTAGAGAATATAAAAAAAAAAAAAAAAAAAAATAAAAAACACTATCAAGAAGAGAAGATTAAAATAACAGTAATTAAGAAAATGCTAGATAATTGGCTGGAAGCTGATATCTCCACTGACCTCTACTGTAACATTATTTTCTTCTGTTTAGGTGTCAGTGTTGCTTTTGCTTGGTTTTATTTTATGCATTGTATTTGATAACATTAGAGGCGTACAGATTTACTAGATGCATTCAATCAGGCATGTTTTATAGTCTATAATATATAGAATATAAAGTATATCTAATAGAATGCATCTAATATCTCTACATAGTTGAAAATATATATATATATATATATATATATAAAAGAAAATCAGCTACACTTGTGGAGTAGCTGAACACCCCCCACAAGATGGACTGGTCTAAGACTTTAAACAGCTTTCTCTTACTGAGGGGGAGGAGTTAAAAATAAAACTTGCCAATTACTCATCAGATTGAAGATATTCTTTTAATTTTTAACCTTATCTGGACAAATATCCTAGTCTTTGTTTTGATAATCACTCTCCTGTTTTATATGAAGTTAGTAGATTAATTTTTGAATTACTAATTATATATATATATATATATATGTGTGTGTCTTTTAAAAAAAAAATTAAAAGAAAACTTACATTTATGACCTCATGTCATTTAAAATATATGACTCATATTTTAATCCTAACCTAAAATAATTTAAATACATTTTTTTTTAATTGAATATCATTTACTCAGTTTACTTTATAGACATTCAATTGTCACTTTGTGTGCTCCATGGCTTGCCTAGACTTTTCGGCTACTCTGAATATTTATGAGCCACCTTAAATTTAAAATATTCATAACATTTGTGGTCTCATGTATAAATACTTGTTGCAAAAAAAAAAAAAATCCTTGCATTTGTGTTGGCTAAGATTAATTTATTATATATATGCCATCTTGCATTAATTGCACAGCTCAGTTTCATGTTGAAGCATACCTACCTATATTTGCCCATTTCAGTTATATATGTTATACATTTATCACTATATTAGCACTAGTACTTAATGTGATATTTTATACTCATAGATATTTTACCTCTTTTGTATACCTGTGCTTTTCATCTTTCTTCGAGTGCCTGTAATAAAAAAAAAAATATAAGTCTACTAGCACAAATAATTCTGGCCATGATGGCTGTTTGATTTCAGAATTTCAATCTTATATTTATTTTATTTATTTATTTTTTTTTTTTCCAGAATCTTTATGACTTATTGATGGATATGTTGGATGAACGAGGTATCAACGACGAATTCATCAACCAGTTGATGGATTTCTGTACAGTCTACGAGCACAAAAGATACTTGAGCTTCTTGGATGGTATAAAAAAATTTGTGGATAAAAAATAATTGTACTGTTTAGTTTACCACTTGTAACTCTACGTGTGTTGATCTTCAGTTCTGAGAATTGTAACCAACCAAATGGCATTTATGCTGGACACAAAAACAAAAAATCTACAAAAACAATAAAATAAAAATAAAAAAAACAATCGGGCATTTTTATTTGTTTCCCCCACCACTACTTGAGATGCCGTGTTTTATTTAACCTGAAGAAATTTCACATTTGCTTTATAGTTTATCTAGAGTTAACTCCCTTGGATCATTCTGAAATGATTGATTTGTTAAACGGCCGTTTTGATTTGCGGTATTTTAGATAATTGTTAAACAAAGCCAATGCTGGCACACGTGTTGAAAATTGAACTTGCTAGAAATAGATTTCACAATAAAGCAAGTCAAATAAAACAAAAAAAAAAAAAACTTAAAATTCTGTGCTTTGCTGTGTATAGTATTGAGCCCAATCCATACTTAGCATCCAATATGGATGGGCTTATGCCAAATTAAACATCATGAATATTGGTAGAGCCAAACCGATTTCACTACAGTCTTTCTAGATCAACATCTGTTCTTAATTTCACCCTGAAGAAAAAAATTAGAATAGCAGTTAGGACTCCATTCATAAAACCTCCATTGATGTGGAAGGTCATTATAAAAGCCAATTACATTTATATTTTGATTGATGCCATTTTAACAATGCTACATGTACAAATTTGAATCTTAGGTTTTTTGTTTTTTTTTTAATCATCCAAGCAAGGCAATAAAGCCACTAAACGCCAGCACTAGAGAATACGCAAAAAACTATTAAGGCAGAACAAGAATTAAGATGGAAGATATTAACTGACATTGTGTTTAAATTTTTTAAAATAAAAGAAGAGTTCCACAAGTAAAGTGTGATAGAAGAAACTGTTAGCACAGAACTTACATTTATATCTAGCCATTTCAACTGTAAAATGATGAAATCTTGCAGCCAATCTAGTACCATGCTTAAAGACACAAGGTTGAGGTACCAAGGAGGGAAGCTCATCAGAACAATTCCCATGAAAGTGTTTATAGGAAAGGTACAGGGGAACCATGATATGATGATTGGAAAATGGACTAAAGCCAATTCAGAACCAATAACATTGCAGATTCTTCTTTGGAGTTTCTCAAGAAGCTATAAATATATAGCAGAAGCACCAGACCGGATGTGGCAGCAATAGTCAAAGAAAGGGTAAATGGTAGACTTATAAACATGTAAAATAGATTCTAGCAAGAAAATTTGTCTAGCATGACATAGTGAACCTACTTTCTTAGCTGTTCATTCAATATATTCTTTCCAACTCCGGTCAGATGAAAACATTAGCCCAAGAAGACACAATGAGTCACTCTCCTAGAAGTTAGCATCAGTCATCCTGATGGAATTTACTAAAGTTACTTAATTTATAGAAGTAGCTGCATCATGTACAAAGAAACTTTATACATGTATACCTCCAGGTATGAGATAAGAACAAATATAGTATAATTCTACTGTAATTAATATATATATTTTTTTTTTTTTTTTTTAAATGGGCTCAAAGAGTAGAGCTTAATATTAATTACTATGAGATTAAAACAAAAACGTTAAAAAATCGCTACACAATAGCTTTCATGTTTCAGCACTCAAATTGTGCCTCCTCAGGTAATGGCAAATAACTGGTGAGTAAAAAAAAAAAAAAAAAATGCTTTTTGAAATTCAAAAGCAAATAACAAATTAAAATGACTTGTAAAAGGTGGAATTTTGATCCATGGTAAAATTTGGTTTGAAATCTAATCCTAGACAAGAAATTAATACGAAACTATAAGCAAGTGGCAACCATGTATCATAATTATGAAACAAATGTAATTTGTTCAATTTTATAAGCTAAATGGAGGAATAGGAAGGCAATCAAACATATAGCTAATTGCAGCATATATTTTTTTATAGTTGATAATAAAAAGGCTTCTTTAAGAAACCAGTAAATGCAATTTCAGTGTTTAAAATAAAAAAAATGTGTAATATGCATACATGATGTTGATAATGCCGACTAAAAAGCAATACATAGCTATATTAAATTCAAATAAATAAAATAATCCTTCATAGAAGGTGCACTGCAATTTACTTTCTAATTAGGACTATAATACCAAATTTAATGTTTAACCATATTGTAAGGGGAAAGGTAAGCTATGCCTACAATTTACAGTTAATTTACTTTGGTTTAATAGAGAATTTTTAGCAACAAATCTAATAATTTCTTACGTAAGCATAAGACGCAAGATTCATTTAAGGATTTACAAGTTCTAGAATAGCTACATAGAACTCTCAAAAAACAAGGCTACCCCCACAACACTAATAAGCAAAGGTTTCAAACTATCAAAAATACCTTTTAAACCAACTACGAAATCCAAAGAAATGCAGCGTCAAACTCTAGCATCTGTCTCAACATACAAGAACAATCCAGAACTATTTACAGAAATTACAAGAAATTCAGACCTATTTAGCAACAATGTAAATGAAAAATATACTAATAACAACCAAATAATTAAAAGCAAATGCCAATCAAAAAAAACTAAAACATATTAACCTCATCAAATTTAGCCAACACAATACAAGGGGTTACAAAATGTGGGGTTTGTAATATTACAGAAGGAAACTACACTTTGAAAACCCCACCACAACATTCACAATAAGGAAAAAATTACTGCAACTCACAAAATTTGTGATTTATGCACTGTGTACAAAAAGCAACAAGTCCTATATAGGTATCAGCCAAGCACTAAACAACAGAATTTCCCTTCACAAAAGCAACATTAAATTACTAAAGAGAAAACTCTGTATAACAAATGTAATCAAGGTAAATTTAAAATTATGCCAATATATTAAACAAACAATTATTCTTACCTAAAAATACAAGAAAAGAACTTTATAGACAAATTTAAACCAATACTAAACAGATCATAACCCCACACATAATGGCTGAACACACTAGTCAAACACAGACCCAAATATTTATGGAGAACACACACACACACACATATATATATATATACCTACTTCCAGTTCCTTATAATAAAACAATATATATGTATGTAGAAGGAATATGTGTACACATAATAGCAAAAAAACAATGTACAAAAAAGGAGAAAGGTTTAAAAAGATACGAACAAAGACCTTCCTTCACCCTTGCTCTGACCAAGCCTAATTATTTTATTACCCATAAGCAGAAGAATATTTTCTCCACAAGTCCAAGAAAATTTGGATTATACTACAATAAACGATCCATAGCTAAAGATGTTGGGAAAATGGGAAATATATAGATATAATAAATGAGGGTACAAATCTAGTTGTAAGGTATGCTATATTTATGGGTTAAAGTTGTCAATATAAAAGTAGGCATTGAGACCAAAACGTAGCGACTACACTTCGTCTCATGCTTCAACGCACTCTTCAGCTGTTGTATGTTATATTTTAGCTTAACTATTAATATATACTGGTAATGGCGCATTATGAGTAGTAAGGTATATTGTATTAACCTACAGGTAATTGGGTGGGCGGTAATGGTTATGTTTCAAATTATTCTAGGGTTTATTTAAATGGGAAATGATTGTTGATCCGAATGCAGTTTCGAATTGCATCTATTTTTAATGTTTTTCTTAAATTTTACTCACTATTTATTATTAATTACATTATAATTCGTTATTGATTATTATTATTATTATTATTACATTTAATTGTTTTTATGAGTGTATTCATTTTTTATTATTTTGTTTATTATTTACTTAAATTTTTACTTAGTTATTGATTTACATATTTTGTTTATTTTATTGCTTTTATGTGTTTTTTTAATTTTTGGAGGGGGTATTATTTTTTAGGTTTAATTTTTGTAGTTATATATTTCATATACAGTGTAACCCGGATAAAAGAGACCCGGATATAAGAGAAACCCGGATATAAGGGAGATTTTCTCTGGTCCCAAATTAGAGCCTGTGTTAATGTATATAAAATAGAACAAACCCGGATGTAAGAGACTTCTTCTCCGGTCCCGACAACTCTCTTATATCCGGGTTACACTGTACATTTTATATATATTTATATATATTTTATAGTCTGAAGTTATTTTTGTAGTTATATGTTATCTCTTTATATTTTATATATATTATATTATTTTCATATTTTATATATATATATATATATATATATATATATATATATATTTTATAATTCTTAGTTATTTTTCATATTTTATATATATCTATATATATTTGATAGTTTTGTAGTTATTTTTGTAGGTATAAATTGTTAAGCCAATGATGTTAACATTTTTGTCACAAACCGCTTTTCAGAGTTTCATGAGATAACACAATCATATGGCGAATAAAAGCAAATTGTTATGATGTTACTTATATAATCCACTACAAGGGGTATATGTTTTTATATAAGTAATTTTCTTTTATGTTTTGCTATATGTGGCGATTATCTTGTTTCAATTTTTTTTTAAATTTGGCTACCCATTTTCTTTAGGATTATTTTTTTTTGACAATTAGGCACAAACTGCAGACATGTTCAGGATTGTACCATTATTTTCAATGTGATATTTGATGCTAACTTCCGCTGCTAATAACGTCTCAATAGCAGATAGAAAGGGCGGTTTTACTTTGTATTTTCTATTGATCAAACTCTTCTTATCGTTGTAGAAGAGATTTACAGATCCCATCTTTTATTCGCCTTTACTAATCGCTTTAAACAATATATATATATATATATATATATATATATATGAAGAAATATAGTCTTAAGGTGTGCTATATTTATGGGATAAAGTGCTCAATATCAGCGATAGAGCGTATATAAATATAAATATAAAGTGAACATTCAAGTCAACACTCAGAGGCGACATTTGTGTTTCATGCTGGACGCAATCCAGCATGACGCCTCTGAGTGTTGAATTCAACGTTCACTTTTCTATATAAAATATATATATATATATATATATATATATATATATATATATATATAT